TTTGGCAAGTTTTAATCAAAAACATTTCTCATTAGTTCTTTTTCCTTGCCTTGGCTTACTGAAATGTGAGCAGTTTGCACGTTCAAGGAGAAAAGTTGAAGTCCTCACTGTGAAATTTTATATTTGAGCTAAGGCTTTTCCAATTTTATTTAAATCAAGATCAGCTCATGTGAAATTACATGAAAATATAGCAAGTAAATTGAGGGTCTTCACATAATCATTTTTAGCCTTCATCCTTAAAACCGATTGTTTTCAAGTTTCTTTCTAATGTTTTTAAAGGAATATCATTTATGAAGAGGTTGGTATACTAAAATGTGCTCTTATATTTTTTCTTCGTTACGACATGCAGCAGTTTAGAAAGCCTGTTTGCCCTAAAAAATGGTATAAAAACTTTGACAAAAAGGCAATTTTTCATGTAATGTGGTTCCCTTTAGAAAATAGGACGGGGGACATTTGATTCAAATGCCGTGTTAAAATTTGAAAATAATGCTCTCTATATTTTAACGTGCTCAAGTCCTGTGGGTCTTGGAGCTGGCTGCCAGTATGTATCTCTACAATATATAGCTGTAGGCGTAACTTCTTCTGAAGCCCAACATCCAGTAAACCATAAAGGGTAAGTTGCTCGATTTGAGTATAGATGGATGAATTTTGTTTGAATCACTATCTACAAGGAAATACATACACGCTCAGATTTGTTAACTGAATTTGGACTAGACTGTATTACTGCAGACCTGAAATACTTTAAACAATATAATCCACAGTGTTAAATTGCTTTTCCTTTTTAAATGGGGTCAAAGTAATGGCGAAGATGATAGGATACTTGATCAAATAGAAGGAAAAATGAGTTTTCTGGATCTGCAGGATGCTTCAGGATGCTCAGCAGATTGTTAACATGCGTGACTTCTCTTCAGCAATGTAATTTTCATGAGTTATAAAGTTTATTTCTCTGTTAAGACTGACTGAGTTTCATGCTACTGCTGGGATTTTCTAGCATCCCATCAAACATGTAGGCAGAATTGTTGTAACTGCTTCGATCTCTATGACATTATTTCCCGTAGTGATCCCGCTGTGTTGCAGCTGTAGTTTTCGCACTGCACTGGCCTTTGGTCTGTGGCCATCGCATTATTTTGACCACGGAGCAATAAAACCACTGCTGCTTCCGAATCTGGGCAGGATGGTCTGGGTCCTCTCCATGCACACAACCTGGGGTGCAGAAAATGCTGTTGCCCTGCTCCCCTTCTTCCAGGAGGAAGAACAATGGGTTTCTGTTCTTCCCAAAGCCCAGAAGGGGCAAAGACTGCTGCTGCTCCTAGACTTTGGTGTTTTCCAAAAAAAGGAAAGGGTAAATTTGCTGTATTTCAGCTCCTGGAGCGTCTGCCAGAGTACGTGAACTGCCAGATGCAGGGGCAGGATCAGCTGCTGGATCTTTCTGCAAGGCTTTGCTGAGTGAGGAAGGGGCACTGCAGTGCTGGCAACACTCCTGCACCTCAGAGTCTGCTGCAGTTGTTTTTAAAGCACCAAGAGGGCCTGACGGAATTGATCTAGAAATAAATAAAGTGTTTTGTTTGTTTGTTTTAAGCCTAATAGCCCTTTATGGTAGATCTTGGAAGTTGCCCAGTCTCAGGAGAGTTCTTTCACTGAAAATCAGGGGATGTGAAATACTGGCTGTTAATCAGCAATTCCAAGGTTCATTAGTCCCGTGGAAAATAATAACAAAGAGCACAGTCTCAAACGAGAGTGTCCTGCTATTATAACTGAAGAATATTTAAACTACACTGGATCCTTTTCTTCTTTGGGCCTGCATAAGTATTATTTAGGCATCGAGGAAGTGCTTTATGGGAATGTCTGGGAAGTTTATATATATCTCGTTTAATGGATCTGAGGGAGTCAGCACAGCCTGATTTATAAAGCAGAAGATGAGAAGAGATCACAGTTTTATCCTTAGCTCTGCAAATGACTGGTGGAGTGGAGCAGTGTTGGCCCTTGACCTCTCTGGCTATTACAGCTGTCTATTCGTTGCTGCCTCTGCAGTTCTTAGGATCTGTACTATCCTCATTACATGTTTTGGGCTTTTTTCGAACATTATCTTAAATGAGGAGGATTTGTTCAGGCCATTAGGCCTGAAAGTTTATACTCGGCATCTCTTACTCAACTGTTAGTCCAAAGGTATCTCTTTGGGTAGTTTTACTTTCTTAATGAAGAATGCTTGCTATAAAGCTGAACACTTTTGTGAGAATGTTGTAGGTTTTTGTTTGTTTTGTATTCTAGTGCACTACTTCTAGAAGAGAAGAACTGCACAATTTCCTTCCCCAGGTGCTTGGACAGTGTAGTTTCATTTGTCAGAACACCAGCCTTTGCAAGATACAACCGCTGTGTAATCTTTAAAGGCTGATATCATAGAATCATAGAATCATAGAATATCCTGAGTTGGAAGGGACCCTTAAGGATCATCAAGTCCAACTCTTGACACCGCACAGGTCTACCCAAAAGTTCAGACCATGTGACTAAGTGCACAGTCCAATCTCTTCTTAAATTCAGTCAGGTTCGGTGCAGTGACCACTTCCCTGGGGAGCCTGTTCCAGTGTGCAACCACCCTCTCTGTGAAGAAGCCCTTCCTGATGTCCAGCCTAAACTTCCCCTGCCTCAGCTTAACCCCGTTCCCGCGGGTCCTGTCGCTGGTGTTAATGGAGAAAAGGTCTCCTGCCTCTCGACACCCCCTTACGAGGAAGTTGTAGACTGCGATGAGGTCTCCCCTCAGCCTCCTCTTCTCTAGGCTGAACAGGCCCAGTGCCCTCAGCCGTTCCTCGTACGTCTTCCCCTCCAGGCCTTTCACCATCTTCGTAGCCCTCCTCTGGACACTCTCCAACAGTTTCATGTCCTTTTTATACTGTGGTGCCCAGAACTGCACACAGTACTCGAGGTGAGGCCGCACCAGCGCAGAGTAGAGCGGGACAATCACCTCCCTCGACCTGCTAGCGATGCCGTGCTTGATGCACCCCAGGACACGGTTGGCCCTCCTGGCTGCCAGGGCACACTGCCGGCTCATATTCAACTTGCCGTCTACCACGACCCCCAGATCCCTCTCTTCTAGGCTGCTCTCCAGCGTCTCATCGCCCAGTCTGTACGTGCAGCCAGGGTTTCCCCGTCCCAGGTGCAGGACCCGGCACTTGCTCTTATTGAACTTCATGCGGTTGGCGATCGCCCAGCTCTCCAACCTATCCAGATCCCTCTGCAAGGCCTTTCCACCCTCATTCGAGTCCACAACTCCTCCAAGTTTGGTGTCATCAGCAAACTTGCTCAAAATGCCTTCTATTCCTACATCCAGATCGTTTATAAAAATATTGAAAAGTACCGGCCCTAAAATGGAGCCTTGAGGGACCCCACTGGTGACCGCCCGCCAGCCTGACGCAGCCCCATTCACCATAACCCTTTGGGCCCTGCCCGTTAGCCAATTGCTCACCCATTGTATGATGTTTTTATTTAGCTGTATGCTGGACATTTTGTCCAGTAGGATCCTATGGGAAACCGTGTCAAAAGCCTTGCTGAAGTCCAAAAAAATCACATCAGCTGGTTTCCCTTGGTCCACCATACGGGTGATCTTATCATAAAAGGAAATCAGGTTAGTTAGGCAGGACCTACCCTTCACAAACCCATGCTGGCTGGGACCAATGACTGCTTTGTCCCCCAGGTGCGCCTCAATACGTTCGAGAACCATCTTCTCCATGATTTTACCAGGCACTGATGTGAGACTGACAGGCCTGTAATTGCTAGGGTCTTCTTTCTGACCCTTCTTGAAAATCGGCACAACATTTGCCAGCTTCCATATTACCAATAATGCCTAATTATAGGTCTTGATAAAGCTGGTATTGGAAGGGTGACCATTTGAATGCCAATATTAGCTCTGCTAACTCTTATAATGGTGATTGTCTCCTAAAGAGTATATATTGATGAGTGGCAAGTCACATTTTTTGGTATTTCCATTGCAATACAATTTGGTTGTATGTATGTCAGAATCCAGGTTTGTTTGTCCTGGGTTGCTTTTTTTTTTCTTTTTAATTGTTAAGAATTATTATAGGAAAGAGGCTTTATTATTATTATTATTATTATTATTATTATTATTATTATTATTATTATTATTATTATTATTATTATTATTTGTAAGTGCTGTAAGAGGAAATTAAATCTACTTGTAAGGCTAGTTGTTGTTCTATACCATTATGTTCCTTGTAGGTGACATATTACTGTTTACAAGGTTTAATTATCTATGTTCAAAGTTTAACCATAACGTTCTTACAATAGAAACCTTTGTTTTCCAGAAAAATAAAGTGTAGTCAGGAGTTTGATAAAATATCTCACACAAATAATTTTCTGATTGCAATGCCATTAGTTTTTAATATCTAATTAATGAAAACAATTGAATGCACCGGAGCTAATCTGCCAACTAATAACAATTAGCAGGAAGAAATAAGGCAGTGGCACAATGCTGTTTGTCTCAACAGTCTCTAAAAGTTGAGTGCATGGCAATAAGTGCGACTTTTCAGATATTCGGGAATAAATTCTGATTTTCAGTGTGCAAAAATTAGACAGTTAATTTTCCTAAGGCAATTTTAAATACTTCTGAGCAGTTCTCTAACACTCTTCACTCTTTATATGCTTTATATGCAAATTTTTAATCAAATCCCATTGCGGTATACATTGACATTTTCATTAGAAGACAGTGGAAAAGAAAACAAAACTGTGGATTTTGCATTTCTATGTGATCTGGCTGATTATAAACTTTTTATTGAGGCTCATGTGAACCAGAGTTTTTCTTGTTTTTTCATGGACTGCATTTAAGTTCTCTTGAACCAACTTTTGCAAGTTGGGACAGGCAAACTTCTGTTGAGCCCAGTGGAAGTTTTACATAACTAACTCTTGAGAGCGTTGGCTTCAGTGATTGCTGCTTGGTGTTTATTTTGAGTGATAAATTTGTTCTAATTACGTACTTGTTGTCTTTGCAGTGTTTTGGATGATGAGGGAAGCAGCCTGCGTCAGCAGAAGCTTGACAGGCAGGTAAGATTTTGGAGGGGACCTTCTTGCTTTAAGTCTAAAACTTGGAGTGCTGAAATCTGCAACACACATATCTGGTAATCAATAGATACATCCTGCAAGAAAATTATATCCTCTGATTAGGGAATGCAAATGAGAAGTCTGTGGAGGTTACAGCTTATGGAGAAGTCTTATGTAGAACTTCTACTGAGATTTTTCTTATGACCACAGTTTGAGTGATTATCATTTCCACTGTCTTGGACTTGTTTCAAGCTGACTTACAATGTGTTATCCATCTGATGGACCAGAAAGGACAAGAGGTTCTGGCAGACATGTCAGCTAGCAGAGGTTTACCATAGAGTTTTTACATCTTTTCCTTTTTGTTCTATGGATTTAACCCTTGTGTAATTAGTAAGCTAGTGGCATTATGTGCCATGTTGTCTATTTTGCTACTGTTTTCCTACATGATGCATACATAAAGTGATTCAGAATCTCTTCCCTGAAATCTCTGGGAATTTTGCCATTAAATTTTAATGGGGTTTGGGGTTTCCATTTCACCTTTGATTATTTTGTGGTGCCTTTTCCATGAACCTTTGTCATGTTTATAGTCAAATCTTGTGAGTTTAATTTTATGTTGTTACATCCATTTTTTCTCCCATCATTTTATTAGCTTGCATGTCTACCAGAATCTTATTTTCAAATTCTTTGTACTTATGCCATAATCCTGCACCAGATTCTGACCTTTCTGGAGTCACGTTAGAGTGTTCCAGATGACTTATGGAGCTGAAAGACTCCAGTCTCCATTCTTGTTCTTTAGTTTTATTGCCTCTCCCTTCTAAAAGCAAAAAAATCCCTGTGTAGGAGCAGGGAGATGGCAAGGAAATGGATATGTAAAATTAATAGCTCTGGTCTCGGGATTGTGGAAGAGGTCTCAAACAGACAGGTGCCCGTGGTGCCACTGGATGCTGAACAAAGCATCTGGGAGAAGAGACTTGTAGGCTGCTAGGATAATTCCTTGCTTCCCATCAGTATTGCTTTGGTTTTCCACAGGTGTAACTAGGAAATTCAAGTGTTTAATTAAAGTTTGTCTTGTATAGTTGTTAGACTAGGCTCATGTCCAGCATTATCATTTGATTCTAGTTTGCAGATTCTGCTGTTGATTTACAGAAACTTAAACTGGCATCTGCATGCCTCATGCCCTTGCTTACCCTCGCATTGCTTCACAGCCAGTACTCTCACACTGTTGTTTTCCCAAGGGTTATTTTCAAGCAAGCTCTGACAGCTGGTAGACTGCTCAGAAAGATCTATTTTAATTATTTGCTGTTTTCAGCAGAAGGTGTTTTAGCAGTGGGTTGGTGTGTTGTTTATTTGGAAAGATTTCCCAAATATCCCGATATCCCACTTGCCAATTCCCACCACTTCAAAACTTAGAAGGTGTAAAGATATCCATTGTTTTTAATCACAGATTGCTGTTGTTCAGAGTCCAGTAACAGATGCTTTTCTTTATTTTTCCCTCAGCGAGCACTGCTAGAACAGAAGCAGAAAAAAAAGCGCCAGGAGCCATTAATGGTTCAGTCCAACGTGGACAGTCGCACAAGAACACGCAGAACGAAACACTCAGAAGAACAAGCGCCATTGGTTGAGTCATATCTTAACAGCAACAGCAGCACCATATATCATGGTATATGAATATGACCTACTGCATGCATAGTTACTGCAAGTCATAGTATAATGCTCTCTAAGTTAAGTTTATGCTATAAGAACAAAGGGGTATTTTAAGTAAATCAACAAAACGAATTTCCTCTCCTTGCTTTTCACTCATAATAGCTCATCAAAGGTACTGAAATGTTATCTAAGAAATAGTATTGTATGGTACAGAGGTACTGTCCTTTCAGTAGAGTGAAGTTTTAATTTTCACAGCTTGGAAAAACAGACATTATCATGCTATAAATGGTAACATATTTCTTATCTACATTAATTGAACTAGATGTTGCAACAGTTTGCACCATAGTGGACTTTCTGACTTAAGTGAGATTAACTGTTCTCTTAAGGTAAAACATGACCCTTCCTGTTACGTTATAGCACACCATTTACTGGAATACTTACTAATCTCTTCTCCTTAAATCAGTTTGTTCTACATTTTTATCTCAAACCCTTTCAATATTTCACAAGCTTTCAGAGAAGCAAAAAGATACGGTAACATTTCTCATATTCAACCCAGTTTGTTAATCTTTTGGGGATAGCTGTCCTTGCAATAAACTGTGCAGTTAGCAAAAGCCAATTTAGGAGAATTTAGTTACTTAATAAAGTGTTTTATCACCTTGTAAAACCCTTTGTTAGGAACGTTGCTCTTGAAAATATTATAAGAACTCCAGAAGTATCCTTTTTTGGTGTGGTCTTCTCTGGGCATGTGCTTAGTGTCTTAGGATACAGTGTTTGCATGGTATGTAGTTAGGTTTTAACGACCATTTTTAACTACAGTATTCAGCTTCGGGGTTGGCACTTTTTTTTCCCCCCTTCAATGAAAACATTTGTATGTGGGAGTGTCAGATGCATGAGACATCTGGGCTGTTTCTAAAGAACTATTCTGCTCTTTTCCGTTCATTTGTTTCTGTTATGGGCATGCAGATTTTAAGTTAAGAATGACTCTTTGATGGGATTTAACGGCCTTCTGAATGAACTACATTGCTTGGATGAGCATGTTTGTTAAATCAATTCCTGTACTGCAAATGCTACAAAAAGAACACTTATTTCTACCTATCCTCCTCCTCCTCCTCCACTCTTTTTTTCCTTGTATTGATTCTGCATAGCACAAAAGCACTTGTTGATTTCAACAAATAATTGGATGCCTGTATGGTGATATCTCTATGGTACTTTACTCAAAGTAGGTCAGAGATAACATCTCAGCAATTCTGAGATGTTTGGTTTTCTGCGCTAGGAAATTCTCTTTCATACACTCCCGTAGCTTATTCTGATGCAGTTATCTGTGCTGCAGTGGTTCCCTGATGGGCAACTCTATACTGGAGTAAAAACTGATTTCATTCCAGAATAATTATCAGAGAGATGAGTAAAAACTCAAGGTCACTTTTGTTCTGGAATAGATCATTGGCCTGGGCAGCCATCTGTAAGTAGATGTAGTGGGACAACATACTTGGCTAGTTAAGCTGATCACAAGTTTTTCTGTATGGAAGAGCTCTTAGCTGATTCTGATTCTCTGCAGGGAGTTGCATGATGATTGCTGCTAGTCCTCTGGGTGCACATGCATTTTGCTTCGCCTAGCTTGAAGTACACATAAATCTAAGATGCAATAGGATGGAGGGATATTAGTTACAGGCAGCGACTGAGCTCAGCTGGGGCAGTGGGATAATACAGATGTGGCTTTTCTATACTTGTGTTGCTCAGGATTGAAGATGCTGGAACCAGTTTCATTCAGTAATAAACAGAGCAGTTACAGGGCTCTTTCACGTGTTGTTTTATTTACTTCAATAAATAAGGAAATGGCTCTGCTGAAAGCCTGTTGTCACAGAGTGAGGAAGAGCATTGCCAGCATCACCATACTTTTTCCTAGATACTTTCGGAACAGAGAGGTGACAAGGTGGTGGGATGAGATGGTCTATGTTCCCTGCTGAGTATTATTAGTGATTCCTCTGGGTGCCACATGCTTCTCAAGGAGACAGTTGCCCTTCCACTGAAGAAGTGGATCAGTTCTGCAGAATTCACTGTTCACAGAAATAATTTCTTCTCAGTTCTTGCTTTTCAGTTCCTGTTTATGTTTCACCTACAAGTAAGAATTTTCAGATCCTGCAGCATGCAAATGACTGGCATGTTGTAACATTTCCTCTTAAAACCTTTGGGTTATTGGTATATTGGCTAATAAACCAATAACAGTAACAGTATTTGTGTTATCTGCAGAAAGTGACATTGATTAGATTGAACAGGCCCACCAAAATTAAAATGGATCCTTGACACTCCAGTGCATGAGTGGTTGGTTTGAGCTGGAGTATTAGCCAGAGGTAATGCCAGCTTGCCAGGTAAGTACTGGGAAATGTGGCAGCATCTGTAGATCAATAGGACCAAGCATGCAGGAAATTGCTTTAATTATTTGGAAGGGGTTATAGGGATATACTTAACGGGAAAAGAACCTCTTATTATATAACCTGTGCACCTTGGAACACAGGCAATCTTACAGAAGAAATGCTTTCATGACAGCATTTCTAGGTAAGTCCATGACAAAACTGAGTATGTAAAGGTAGCAGAAAGTTTTCATGTAAAATTAGTATAGTGGCCTTTTTTATTTGCACTGAAATTAAGTTAATATAGTTTGGGGACCATACTTGTAGGTTAGACTCTAAATTATCTGTCTGCTATTTCAAGCAATAAATATCCTTCCATTACTTTCTGTGATATTTGGCTCCAATTTCTACTATTACAAACAAAGCCACTCTTTGGAACTCCTTGGTATTCTCGCACTCTCAAATAAAGCCACTCTTTGTTACTATTGCAATACCAAATACAACTTTGACACTATTTCATCATTACGAATAGCTAAATAAGAACTAATAACAATGTTTTGTATTGCAATTAACTTTATATTGTATATAAAAGAAGACATAGTCATTTATTCAGTGGAGTAAATTTAATCCAGTGTAAGATAAATAGCAAATTGCTTTGTCTTCTTTCCTGTGTCCTAGTTTATTTTCAGTTCAGTGTCCTTCAGAAGGCATATTGCTACTTGCTTGTTTCAAGGTTTTATTAAATGTTGCTTGCTGTTTTGTAATGCCTTCCAGTCACATCTGCTAGTTTGTTTTCATATATTTTTGCACCCCTTATTTTGATGTTCTTTTAAAAATTTGAACAAACATTTTAGTGTGATACGGCATTGCAAAACTCTGCTATAAGTACAGCTTTTTCAGTCTGGCTTGCAAATACATACCAAGCCATCCTAAAACCAAGTAACATGCAGAGATACGCTGCTTACTGAAACAGTTTAATTACACTATTTAATTACATGTAATGCAAATGATGAAAGACCATTTTAACAGGGAAGAGTAATTTTATTTCTATGAAAATGGTGAATTTCCACTGGGGAGAGATTTTTCTTTTTGCAGCTCTGAGGAAGGCAGAGATTTGAACAAGTGCCAGATATGCTTTCATTAATATTAACATATTTTGTTGCAGCTGTGGCTTTTTCTTTTTAACTTGGAATTAAAAATGTTTTCAATTAGAAACTCTCTGAATAATTTTCATGGCAACTTCCAATTTAGAGATTTCGATTAACCATGTGTTAAAAGGCAAAATTACTTCCTTACTTTTCTTTTTTTGACATTTGGCAGCACATCTAGATGGAATGGTTGTCTCGTTTCTTGAAGAACAGGCTTTAGGTAAAAGTCATGGCTCTGGAGTGTTACGTTTGGTGTGTCATTCTGCTCTTTTACCATGAATGGTGAGAGGGGGTTTTCCGATGGGTGCCAGGCTGCCAACTTACAAGATGGCATGGATTAACCATTCTTTTAAAAACACGCGTATTTGAGTGTTCATCAAATCTGTGTGTTGCATCCCTGCGTTTCACTGACCTTGAAATGAGGTGTTAGTTTATTTTTTGAAGACAGCCGGGAATGTTCTGTGCACAAGACTATTAATATTGAGAGATCGGGCAGCACTCCAAGTATCATGTGGGCAAAACACTTAACTCCCAATAAGCATATATTCTGAGATCTCCCTTTTGGCCGCAGTCTCTTTACCATTCATCCTTTAAAGCATCTTCTTAATTTATCAACAGTCATTACCGTGCTAGTACATTTCCAAAATAAAGTAAGCCCGTAGCAGCAGAGAACAGCAGGTAGCAAGTGGTTTAGAAGTCTTTTTGTGGTTCTTGGCACTGGAAAATTTAAGAAAGTTTAGAGGCAACTGAGAGAAGCTGCTTGAAAAACACCCTTCTCTTTGCTTTAAACTTCTACTTAAAATATATTTACTTGTTACGATTCAGCGTCAGGGAAGGAGCAGGAGCCTGCAGGTCCCAAAGGGACAGGGAGCCTGGTCACAAGGGTGACCCCAGCACAGGCAGTGCCCTGAGGCACCATCCCACCGGGTCCGAACACAGCTGGCAGAGCTGGCTGCTGCCAACAGCATCCTCTGCAATCCCAGATGCAGCAAGGGATGAACCGGGGTCCCCCCAGAGTGCCAGACAGGGTGGAAGGGGATGGGGCCAGGAGTCAAGGCTGCAGTGTACACGCGAGGGGTCTGTTGAGTGGATGAGCTACCTACAGCGTGCCACCAGGGGCATCCCAGGAACCACAGCTGGAGACCAACGCCATGGCCCTGGCTGAGCTGAGATCGATCCCTCGGTGGGCAGGGAGTGGGTGGAGGCCACAAGGGAGGCTGGTCAGGGCAATTAAAGCCTATTAGTGCCTCAGGGCCCTGGTACTCAAAATAATTATGTTATTTCTTGCTGTCCTTAATCTTCCTGGTAGAGGCTTTTCATGGATAATTTTATCTTCCCGTATTAGTTGTCTACTTCCCCAAAGAGTCTGATTCATTGCTATTAGCTCTCCATTTCACATGCTGCCTTTTCTTCTCTGCTCAGTGGTCAGACAGCAGATGCCTGGGAGTTAAGAGGAAGCTTTTGTTAAATTCATTCCTTTGTTCTTTCAAAGAAAGTCTCCTTATGGCAATGAGCTCTTGATAATGTCCTCAAGCACCAGCAAGTTCTCCTGTACACTTGTTCTTTTTCTCTCAGCCCGTTCACGTGCACCTTCACTTAGAGTATTTTCACCTTTGTAAAATCAGCCAGGTCAGTGCACCAGTGTTAGCTACAGAAACTGCAAGGAGTCACGGTGACTTCACGAGTGATAAAATATTCTGAGTCTGGAATCTGACAGTAAAGTGCTAGTTGCAGGGGCAATGCCTTGGATTGTAAGCATTTTGAATAAGAAAGCAAATATTTGTTAAGTAATCAAATAGTGCCTAACACACTAGCATCCTCGCCCTAATTCAGGCCCTTGTATTTATCTGATTTTATCATCAATGTTTTTTGTTTTTGTTTGTAGGCCTTCTATAAAAACTGATAAAATATTTCATTTTACTCTAAAATATGGTGGTATTGCCCATCTTCTGGATACTTCTTATAGGATCCAATGACTTCTAAATGAGCGTAAAAAATGCTAAGTTAGTATCATAATCTAAATATATTAAAAAAAAACAAGAATGACAGCTCAATTAAGCATTAATATTCACTAAAGCTAACGTTACAAAGAAAAGCAGCAAGACATTTCTATGGTGAGATGGAAGAGCGTCTCAGACAACAGTAGGAAAAGGACAACTAATTTGCACTGATTTGTTAAAATTTGCTCTTGACTGAACTGTGTTTTAGCGTTCTTTGCATGGCACTCATTCTGGATTTCACTTTCACCATGAGAGGACATTAATAAAAAGAGTGGATATTTGCTTTATTGAACTGAGCCAATGATGTGCACCACATAACTTCTCCATCTAGTTCAGCCTCTTTCTACCTCACGTGTTTTCCAGGCAGACTGTGCAGTGTTTTAATGTATCCAGTTCTCTGTGTGTGTGATTTTTCACTTTTTTCATTCTACATATAATGTGCCAATCAAAAATATTGTTTTCTTTTAGTGCATGGCGTTTTTATGTGAGAGGGATTGGTAAGTTTTGATTGATAGTTTTTGTTTCTTCCTCTAAGATTGGAAGAGCGTACGAAGTGCTCATATCAAGAAAAATGGGCATGCAAATGAAAAGAAAAAAATCTGCATTTTCATTGCTTGGTACTTTGAAACTAATTTCCTGTGTGAACTTACGTTCATAAAGGCCAGATGGAGAAGCATGCTTTTCATTTTCATTCACTTGAATATGTGTGGATAACTATCTTTCAATAGTTGTTTTTTTTTGTTTTGTTTTGTTTTGTTTTGTTTTTCAATTCTGTGTTGTCTGCATTACAGATTATTCACTCGCTTAGAAATTGCATAATTTTCTTTAGATGTGGGTTGTAGCTCTGCCCCTGTAACATGCTTTGCTGTCCAGCACAGAACTGTTTAACGAGAGAGGCTTCTTTTCCACACTTTTAGCAGTTAGACCATTGTCAAGGACACAGCCCTTTTCCACTTTGGTGTGCAGTCATTTTTCACTCATCCGGTACTGTGTTAGTAGCCTACTTGTTAGTTGTTCACCTTTTCCTCTTAGCTCAGGTTCTGAAATAATTTTATGGAACCTAACCTAAATATAGTAACTTTTGGTCTTTTCTGTCTCCCCAAAAGTATTTTCAGTAATACCATATTGAGGTTAGTAATCAGCACTTGATTGAACAACACTAGAGTTAAAACCATGTCACTGTATTATTTGAAAGCTTGCCATTTATCTCATTTTTTTGCAATTTATGGGACCAAAAGAGAATGAAACATCAGGTCTGACAGTCCAGCATTATTTGCTGTTTGGAATTCTGTCTCGACACAGTGCATCCTGCTCTCATTTCTGTCTTGTCTAAATGCAAATCTAGTACAAACAAATCTAATAGAAATTGAAAAAATGTCTTTATTTTTTTGAGTGAAGATTTTAATAATTTCGAGTTGGAAATACGGGGCAATTGAGTGGATTTTCAAATGTAGTCTCCTAGTGTTTAAGATAAAGATCGATTGGGATTTTTAAAGTTCCCTTTTCTTATTGAAATGAATGCATTTTTGAGTGACATTTGTGGAAAGTCCTTCCCTGAAGCTGCATGTAAAATTCTTAATTTATTCATTCTGTGCTACTGCTATCATTATTTTTAACTTCTTAATATCCAATTAAGGACATAATCATATTGTCAGTGAATATTATCCAGGGAGACCAAAGAAAACATTAGTGACTGGACGAGCCTTAGCCAATTTCTGCTGTTTTTTGAGTAATTAATAGCTAAGAATAAAATGGTGTTTTTTTGTGCATGAGGCAGTATTTTGGGATTAGATTTTGATTTATTCCAGAGGTAGTGATTTAAATGTAACGTTACAGGTCAAAAAAGCATCCTTTAGAAACAGGAAATTCCGTGCTAATTCTTTCATGAACACAGTTGTAGTATCAGCACATTTATGGGTTAAATTTTATTTTGCAGCCTCCACCACTTCTGTATGAATGTTCTGTTTGCCATATAGAGCAGTGATGGTATATGCTCGGAATGGCTACTGGACTGAAATCTGGCCTTATAGATGAAAGTAATGCAAATATTTTCTTCTCTGGCACTTGGAGTACCTATTACTGTGCTTACAATCAGATATCTCTTGCTGGAAGTTACGGGACAAAATTAATTCACAAAGCTTTAGGCTTTTACTTGTTAGATCAAAAGACAGCTGACAAGATGGTGCAGATAAGTCTTTAATTTTTCAATGAACAATGTCAGAACATTTCATCCCTTGCTGATTAATCATTCCTTTGGGCCAAGTAGATTAAGTTTCATCTGAATGAATGAATATGGCTGTATTTAAAAGGATTTAGAGACCTGACTGGTCATTTAATGTCGGTCATTTGTAAAGTACTGAATTTCAGTTACATGGAGGATTATCATCTTTAAAACAATGAAAAGAACATATCCTCATTTTTAAAGAGAGACTAAGCTATAAATATAGGACAGCTTGCTGGGCTGACCAATCCTACCTATTTAAAGACTGTTCAGCGGGGATACTTTGCTTCCCTGCTTAGTCCAAGGCTGCCATGCCTGTGGAAACAGAAGACCACGCTGCTTTGGATGTGCTGTTTTCCCTGTCATGCTGTGCACTTGCTCCTTTGGTTCTGTCTTGTTCATTTTCTCAGTGCTCTGTGGTGCTCAGCAAAAGTCCTGCGGTCTTGGGATTTGTGTTCAGTAAAGATGGAACTGAGGAGTTGGGCAGCAACAAGTCATTTTTCTAGGCTGTTAATCACTCATGCCTCTACCGATTTCATGTATATACTCTATAAAACTTGAGCTCTTCCTCTGTGTAGTGAAACAGGGGTATGTGTTTAGTGAGTGCCTCGGATGCTCATTGTGCAATGCTGTTCATACGGGGCTGCTGAGCTGGGGAGGGCAGCTGTGGGTTTGTATGCTGCAGTTAACACAGACATGGCTAAATCCATGTCAACTTGTTCCTCTGAGGATCCCCTTGGTGTTGTGGTTGCCATTCATGTGCCTGAAGGATTTGGTGGATGGGAAAGTTGCCTCGTAGACCAGAAGCTTGGAGAGAGTTTCCTTCTTCAAGGGAGGTTTCCAGCTGTCCACACATCATGGGGCATCGTTAGGTCAGGGTTTTTCAGGGTTTATGACTTTTGTCAGGGATGTTTTTAAAGAAATTTTATTGGCAGCCATTTCTTTCCAGTTAGGATCCTTAGTGGACTTCATTTTTTTATTATTTTAAAGAAAGCACTTTAATTTGGGGAAAAGAAAAGGATGATAGGATGCTGGCATCAAGTGCCAGGGTGATATTCCTCTGAGATACACCACAGTGACCACACGAAGCTGGGGGCAGTGAAATTAACAGCAGCCAGCAGCTGATGCTAAGATTTCTTAGTGCTCACCTCCCGGTTGTTTTGCTTGGGGTATGAAGTTTGATGATTTCTTTCTGTATTTCACAAGGGTGATTGCTTTTATATCATTATAAACGCAGTGTTACTTGACTTCAAGCCCTGGTCTGGCCAGAGCAAAGAGCTGCTCTGGGCATTGCTTGCACAGATTGAAATATTGACCTCAAAGTGTGTCATGCGTTTAGAAAGAGATAAAGCCTCATTTTACTTTGAAAACAACCAAGATTATGTGAATGAATGCTGACATTTGTAGTTTGTGCTATGAATAATATGCTGAGACTTCTCAAAATTAATTTGTACGGAACGAAGTAGGAGGAGTTTTTTAGCTTGGGCTATAGTTTCTTCCATAAAATGCATGGCTGGCCTACTCATGATACTCTGGTATATTTGGTTGTGTAAATATGTTTTGAAAATAAAACTGATGATTCCTTGTGTGTGGTTTTAGGATATAGTTTTAAGCATAGGCACTACGAAATCTAAATAAAGCTATTCAGCCTTCATGCTGCCACTGTTGATCAGTCTGGCAGAGCTTTAGTGTAAGGAAATGTGCTTCCTGCAATAGCTCAGCAACACATTAATATTCTGATGTTATTTTTGGACTGAAAGTTAGGAGCTGATATATTATTGGAAGGAGGAAAAAAGTTAGGAAATACCTCCCAGTTAACCTAACACTTTTATTTTTTTTTTTTTTACTGTAACTTAGCAATTTCTGGTTTATTTGAATCCCTTCTCTGCATGAATTACCTGAAATGCTAAATTCTGCGACGTCTGCTTACTTCTTTTGCCTTCAAAGAGTTCTCAATTCACTCTCTTTCTTTCTCTCTCTCTCTCTCTTTCTCTCTCTCTCTTGTCTCTCTGTTTTTCTTTTTGGTGGGGTGCCCTGAATCTCTCAAGCAGTGCAGGAGGCCGAACAGGAAGATGTAAAAGTGGTAGTGGATGCCCAAGCTCCGAAATCAACTAAAAAAGCCAAGGCAGCAGCTGCAAGCTGTCAGACTGGCAGCACCAGAAAGGAGAAAAAAGGGAAACACAAAGGTTAGCTGCATGCTGCTCAATGTCAGATGTTCAATTGACTGCAAAATGCTTTTTTTTTTTTTTTTTTTTTTTGTCATTTTTAAATTCTTTGAACATCGATATTTTTCTGAAAATTGTCTGAAAGTGATATATTGAAATTTTTGTGAGATTGGAAAATGTGTGTGGCTTGGACTTATCTCAGCAGGTGTGAAGGAGGGCTGAAATTTGTAAACCAAGTATTCTCCAAAGGAGCATATTTATTAAAATACTAGAGGAGTAAAAGTGTCCTGATGGAACAGATGCTGATGTTTTCCTGCGGTGTTAAAGAACTGAGAATCACCGTAAACCAAGATGTTTTTTTCAATCTGCACACGATGTAATTTGGAGGAATGGCCTTAAATTGCAGTCATTCTGTCCAGGCTCTTACTGGGGTTTATGCTGCACGGCGTAGGGGTTAAGTGAGCATTTTGAAAATAAATTCGACAAAACCAAGGTAACATCCTCAAAGGGTTTCTTCAAGTTGTTCCTTCAGGGTTACTCTATCCTACCTGGCAAATGTATGGAAGGTGTTGGTATGAAAAATTTTCTGCGGTGACTTTGGGTCTTGAGGTCATAGTATAGGGGCTATATATAGGAATTTTGCAGGACCAGAGCCTGTCTTATTAAAATTCATTAAACCGTATTGCAGCTTAATTCTTGAGATCTGAATCTACAGCTTCTCTATGTCTGTAGTCCCTCTGGGCCTCGGTGAGACAGGCTTTAGTGTCGGGCCCCGAGGTAATTAATTAATTCATTTATTTGAAGGAGAAAAAAAAAAGAAGTTGGTGTGTACTGATACCTAGGCTTAAAATAATAAGTGAAAGTCAAGGGCATGAAGTTTAAGGTTTTTATCTCCTACATGAATTTTAAGGTTTTTATCTCCGATGGTGTGATTTATCACCTGTATGGACGCTGCCCTGTAGGCTTAGGGAGTGAAGCAGTGGAGTTTTCTTGAGAGATTGTGGGTCGTGTAGCTGCCAGAGTCTTTAAAATCCCTTCCATCACCATTAGCTGCTTGAGAAGAGATTGATGTTTGTGCTTGTGGATTATCTGAGGGGTGGAGGGGCGAGATGACCACTTGTGTTAACATTTTAGCAATCTAGATGTTTCATGCTGAAACTCCAGTGTGTTCTGTAAAGGAACAGGCTGGATGCAGAGGGATGAATGCCCTTTATATGCGAAGACAGCATTTTAAAGGTTTCCGTTAGTATTTAGCTATAGTGAGTATTACTTCTCTGAGCAGAGCAGAGCTCTTTGTGCTCGAAGAAAAAAGAGTCTTTAGACCAGATTCTATGAATAGTAAGCGAAGTCAGACCAAAAATCATTGAATTATACATGAATAGCTCTTGAAGCTGTAGTGCAATGATTGTGCTCTGGTCTTAGATGTGTAATGCCTTTTTAAGTGGCTTGAAGAATGATGAAGCTGTGATCAGAACAACGTGCTAAAGATAAACGCGAGGGAAATATTAGGTTTAATGAGGTTACACTGACATAAGGCAAGAGAAGGATGTGGCTAATTGCTCGTGTAGCTGATTGTTCCTCCTGAGTTAGGGGTCAGTGCATTTTGTAATTCTGTGATGGGTAGCGTGGCACTTATCAACTCTTCCTAAATCTGTGATTAGTACTGGTATCTCACTCTTAATGACATATCCAATCTAATCTGCGCCTATTTTTAGAAAGGAACATCATTTTTGTGGGAAGAAGCCTGCAAACGCAGTAAATTGATTGTATTTTATAGTAGCTCAGCTCATTAAATTGGTATTTCTGGAAGGTTTAGTCTCCAAGTTTATTGTTGGACATAATATTCAGTATTGGGAAAAATACAAAATGAAACAAATGGATGTGTAAAATGGTGAAAATAGTGGACTGAACTCTGGCTTCATTTGTGACTTTTGAGATGCTAGGAAGGGTGAATAAGGATATTAGTGAACCTGGTGTACAGTGTTATTAGATAGTCCAACAGAAAAGTAATGCAAACGAGTGAAAACAGTTACAACAGGCACCCTGCATAGCAGTACGAATACAAACCTGAGCATCTTTAGAGTATTCTTTCAGAATTAAGATTCCTGAAAGTACTGTAGGCACATAGCAGTGTGGGGTGGTTTGTTTTTTTGTTTGTTTGTTGTTCTTTTTTTCCCCAGTACGTTTGTGAATTAAAGCTATCTGGTAGAGTGTATTTTTGGCTTTGTGCAGTGAATTGAGTAGAAACAAACCAGGAAGATAAAAAGAACCTTAAAAAAAAAATATGCAGAAAACTAGGCAAAGCCAGGACCTAATTCAAAGTGAATCTGATATGAAAATTCAGAAATCATTCCCTGAAGTTTTTTTTTCTAGCTGAACCACTTGCACTTGCAGCATGTAAGTACGTTCTAGGAAACATATTACCTACTTCATTTATGAGAGTCAGAAAGCAAATGAGCTGCTCTGAAACACAGCACTTCTTCTGCCAGGATGGCTATTTCGTGTTTTGATTTGGCTTGCTTCTTCCATGTTTCTTTTCTCTCTTTCACGCCTGCTCGTCTGTTTTGATTTGTGCATCCTGTCTCATTTTCATATGTAACAAGCAACTACATTAATGCTGGCCGACTCAGAAAGCAGCACCATTGGTTGGATAAGCAACATTTTTTCTCACTATAAGACTTCCTTTTCTGATGGGAATAAAAGAGTTTGTGTAGAGTAGATTTATCTTGGCTTCCCCCTGCATTAAAGAGAAGGGGTAGTAGGAGGAACAAATTTGTTTCCACCAAGAAAAGCCCAGTTGTTTCCAGATCTGACAGCCCGTTCAGGCAATGCTTTGGCAACGCGTGAACTTGACTGGGAAGACATCATTTGGCCTCCACAAGATAGAAATTTATGAAAGCACAGTTCTCTAGTTTTCAAGTTAAATGTAGATGCTTGGTGCTCAAGTACTTGCTTTTGAGTGACCTGATACTGTGTTAGCGAGAGTCCTTCCTTTAACTAAAATTTGGACTAAATCACCTCCAGATGTCCTTTCTTAACAAAATTTGTTTTTTTCTCCCCTTTCCTTAACAAGCAAATACCTTTGTGGTTTTGCATTTGCTTGAACCCATATTGATGGTTGCACAGCCTCTAAGAGAACAGGTATATACTGGGAAATGGCTTATAAAATATTAACAACTGCAATATACTTAAGGTTATGTGGGCCAAAAAGTATAACAAAAATGCCCCCCACTCCCCACAAACATTTTCTCTTTTGAGGAGAGTTAACACCCAACAGTGATTTTTCTCTCTCGCTTTCTTTTTTAAGCAATAGAGTTCTAAATTCCTAAAAGCTGTAATTTCCTGGTACTTCATTCTAGCTCTTTTATTAGAGCTTCCTAAGCAAACATTCTGAGAAATAACCTTTTTCATTTATTGATTTTTACAATATTACTTTCCTCTCCTGTACCACTGTTCCAGAGGTAAACCTTATTATACTCAGTGTTCTAACGTCTGGATAGGTGTGGATTTCAAAAACGTAATCAACTCTTGTTTTCGTCTTTTTAACATAAAAAGATCTCTTGACACAATAGAAGCAGAAGGTTTTGCTTTCAGCTACATTCTTTAAAGGCTGGAAGTTCTCTTTGTTTTGGTGTCAGTTTAATAAAAGTAGTTTTTTTCTGAGGATAAAGTCCTTGTCTTTTGCAGCATTTGTGCTCCCACCCCTAAGCTGGAGGAAGGATGTTCTGTGATTCTGTGAAGTGCTGCTCTGCAATTTGCAATTGCAGCTTTGCTGCTGGCTGCAGCCTTGAGCGTTATCCATGTCGATACGACTTCTGTTGCAGACCAGTGTTTTGTCTAACCTGGTGTCATGCCTTTGAAGGCACATTTAAAATCAGAAACGAAGAAAAATTTCTCGAGTGTCAACTGCATTTGCTGTCAGCATGCTTGCAGAGGAAGGACGTGCCTGTTGCAGAACCCCTGCGTACAGCTGCTGAAGTCAGAAAATGTGGCTTGAGGTCTTGGTCTTCCAGAGACCTCCTGCCTGCTTCAGCCACCTTTGTGGGTCTGACACTCAAAAGGCTTAAATACAGTCTTAAACCTTAGTGTGTGAGCAATATAGCTGATCTCTGATGTTGAATTTGTCTTAAGTACTCTATAAAACGAAAACGGGATTTTTTCTGTCCTGCAGATCTACTTTGTACAGTGGGGACAGAAATACTTGTTTTCTATGCCATGTACCTTTCCTTGTATGTATTCTCATTTGTTATTTAGTCACTGAACTCAATTAATTGTCTCTGATGATACGGTTCTTTTTAGTTTCTTTCCTAATTTGCAGCTGTCCTGTGAAGAAGTACTTAATTTACAATAATGGTTATCTTCAAATAATTTAGAAATCTGTCTTTTTGTGTTGTCATAGGTACAGTAGAGATTCTTTGCAAATAATCAGTTAATCATTCTTTCCTGTACTTATAACCTCTTTTAAAAGAACCAAGAGTAAATAACATTTGCTGAATTTCGTAGCAAGATGTTTGCATGTATAAATACATGCAGGAATGTGATGTATATAAATACAATTTGATTCTTTTCTTGAAAGATCCAGTTACTGGGGATTCATGTAATATACAGTCAAATGCTTTTATGCCTATAGCTTGTTGCCAGGTTGTCAAATTTTGAATCCCTAACTTAGTCAAGACTAATACTGGGCATTGTCTGCTATTGTTTATCAGCAGTACCTTTCTTCATGTTTGTTCTGGTACTCATCTATAGGCAGTGGTTGCTTATCAGTTGCCTCTCTAAGCTTTCCCTGGTCATACATAAATACATAGCTTGTTAATATGTAGTCCTTTCTGCTTTTCTGTCCACTCTCTCTGCTTCCCTCTCCAAGTAAAAGTTTTAAAATGTCATTTTTTTTTATTACCTCTTGAGCAATGAAAGATTTTGCATATTATCAATACTGTCTGTAAGATTTCAGGTGCTAACATAATGCAGGTGTTGATAATAGTAGTTTGTAGGATGGAAATGCCACTGAATGCCAGTATATTATTATTTATTTATTTATGGTATCTGGGTTTCCTCTGAGACATGACTCTGTTAGAGTTTACCGGAAGGCTCTTACCGAAGGGACTGATATTCTGGTGGTATTTTCAGTCTCCTTCTTTCTCCCCTGCTCTCCTTCACAGTTGCCTAGAGGAAAACATAAATAATTCCTTTTCTTCTTAACAGGTATTCAAAGACATCACCATTGGTTTTTCTTTACCTGACTTTTGGGAAAAAATGTTTGAAAATCATGAATCTCGCTATAAACTTTTTCTTTTTGGCACAGCCTGCTCATCTTTGCCTTTTCTGACACCGTTCTTAAACAAGGAAGCTTATAGCTATAGGCGTGATGGTTTGCTTTTATTGCACAGTGAACTGTCTGTCCAGTAGGTGTGTGGAAGGACGAGAAGTCAGTGAGGCAAAGAAAGTGAGAACACAGAGAGAGATCCACCTCAAGTATCATAACTGTGCAGGCTTGAAAGTGCTTTCAGACATTGTGTTAATTATGGTCAAAATGTCTTTTGAATTATCACTTTCCAAATAGACATAACATGATAAATATAAAAGAAATGTGTATATCTGCTTGCATTTAATATAATTTTACACATGCGTATATAGCTGCATGAATGCATGCACACACACAAATATTAAATAGTTAATCCTGCATTTGCTGTGAACCATCTATAGCACCAAATATATTTGCTGGTTTTTTATACAATACTATAATACAGCAGATGCTATTTTCTTTTTTTTTCTCTCTCTGGCTATATCCCCCATTCTCCTAAATGGGGTGAGCAGCAGAACCATTCGTTATGCTTAATAACGCACTCCCCCAGTGATGCGCTCCGCAGAATGCTGAAATTGATTTTTCTTCTTTAAAAGTGTGACCTGCCAGGGTAGCCTTTGTCCTCCTGCCTGATGGTACGCGATGTTCCTGACAGCACGGGATGTGAGCGCAGCTGTGCTGCAGGCATCAGAAAGCAGCAGCCTCAGTGCAGTGTCTCATGCCGTCAGAGGCATTTCCTTGCCGCAGATCAGTGTTTGCTTTGAAGAAGAAGAATTAAGATGTTTTGTTCCCTTTGGAATGGGTTCTCCAAATCAGGTTTCTAGTGTCCCAAACTTAATAAGGGAGTAGATACGCACAAGGTATGAGCCTTTTGTTAAATTTATGGGTGCTTAACGCTTGAAATTCGGAGTATTATAGTGAGAACCTGACTTTAGGCAGTCACCTTAAAGTTGATGGATAAAGCTGTTAAAAATACTGCAGTGGATCTGAGCAGCTCTCCTGTCTGTTCTAGAGCACCTTTGCTGTAGTACGTATCCTGAAATAACTCACTGTCAGTACAAATGCTATTCACTGCCATATTATACCTGCAACATCGGGAATTACCCTGTTCGATGTATAATTTGTCCCTGCTAACGTACTGTAACGAAGAGTGTTTTTATTGCCCAAATATGTATGCAAATTTTTGGATGCCATAAACTCTTTAAGTTTCCACGTGTTAGTGCTTTTCGCAGTTTCACTGCTTAGTTAACTGCAGTCATTGCTTTTATAGGGTTTGCCTTTGTTGTTTTTCTGTACAATAAATGATCTGATGAAATTCCTTATGGTGGTACTGTAAGGGGAGATAAATAGCATGTTAAGTTTACCTTATCTGTAGCTTTCAGTGTTTTGTTTTGTTTAGTTTTGTTTTTTTTTACCTCTTTTGGAACTAGAATCTTTAAGGTCCCTTCCAACCCAAGCCACTCCATGTTCTTTATTTAACTTAGCCCGTGTAAGATTAAAGTGTGGGTGTATGCAACATCTGGGTCATGCTGCATGAGTTAGAATTTTAGCTAAGAAAAATGTCAACAGTGAACAGATTTGTGTTGTAAATTGTCAGACTCTTTGACATAGCAATCTGGTTGTCCAGTAAACTAGAATTCCTTCAGACAGCATGAATTTTTGTGAAGCTGCATGCAGATTTTATATTTAGTTTTTAGTAATTTAGTAGTGAAGATTGTGGATTGCACTCGTTGCCCAGGATGGAGTCTGCCAAGCCGCAACAGCTCCTGAAAGATGACAACCAAGGTGAGAAGAGCAGGAGCTCTTAGGCAGCAAATGGCATAAAAGGCCAACACTAAACTAATGGCGTTCCAAACTTCAAAGGGGATACTGAAACTTTTGAAGAATTTGGAATGATTTGAAGAGTGGGGGATCTGAAGGCCAGGAAAACATGTGGAGACATAAACTTCAGTTCCTTTAATTGATCAAAGATAAGGTTAAGAGGTGCTTTGATGAGGACTGACTTCTGAAAGGGCAAGGCACTTGATAGTATAGGAGGTCTATTGCCTAGCTGATGAAGGTGTAAAAATAATCAGGTGGCCAGAACTCCTTAGGCCAGTTCAGACGGAGTCACTGGTGCTGAACACGGGGGGTAATTTATCATTAGAGCAACGGTTGTGGGGTTGCAGCGCATTCTGCATCACAACGAGAGCCTGAAACTCTCCTTCTACAAAGGCGATAGAAACATTTCCATCTACTTCATTTAGGTGTTCAAGGTTGGGTGGTTTATTTGTTGTTAGTTTTATGGTAACTAAATCAGAACTTACAGGGTAGGTGTAGAATTTGCCAGATGCAGCGGAGTCAATAATTCCTTCAGACCTTGAAATCTGAATTTGTGAAGTGGCAGTCATGTCTGCTTTGGTTTTGTCTCTCTCTTTTCCACCTAACCTGAAAGCTTTTAAATACTTCTGCAGTCTTGTTAGGTGGTAGCACGGTTAGTGCTGCTGCTGATAAAGTGGACCACTTTATTTTCCAGCAGTGCTTCGCACCACAGTGGCAGTAACAGTAAGTATGGTGAAGTACAGTTAAGCATGCTAATGTGTAATCCAGTTGTCTTTTAATGCAAGTTGACAGCTGCTGGCAAAAAGGGTTGAGATGGTAATCTTGGAGACTTCTGCTACATATCACAGGCTGAAAACATAGCCCAACAGGTAGTACTCCTTCGTACGGGATTTATTCTGCTCCATTTGGTCTGAGGAGCACCATATTCTTTTACTGAAATAGCTCTTTGCAATGCTTGCTAATTCTCCATCACGTTGCTTATTAACAAAGCTTTCAGAACAGCAGCAGCATACAGGCTGAAGTTACTTACTCTGTCTGTAAATGATGATAGTACCATTTCTATTGGTGCCGAAATGCATTTCCATATAGCTGGTTTATTTTATTTATCAGCACTTCATTTTAGCTAAGAGTGGCACATTTGCAATCTGATATTTCAGTCTGTTGTCCTGAAGAAAGAAACGAAGTTAGCTTGTGATAAGAATACTCCTTCCCCACCCCATTTTTTCAAAGTTTCTGAAACTTTGAAGAATGAGTTCATAATGGTAGCCTTTGTGTCTTAAAGGGCATAATATGGGGCTCAGGTTTATCTATTTCTGGACCAGTTGTGACCTGCTAGGAAAGCTGCATCCGTTTTCTTTGCCTATCCTCTCCAATTGATTTCTGTAAAGTGTGGCAAGTGGGGAATGAGACTTTTGCCTTGGGGGTTGTTGTAGTCTTGCTTAAGTCTATAAAATATTATTAAATATGAGCACGTGATCTTCGTTTCTTAGAAAAGATGCTTTTTATGAGGGAAGGATTCTCTTTGCAGTAACTTCTTGACACAATGACAACCAAGGCTTTTGCTGTTGTCTGACAGGAATTGATGGCCCAGCTGCTTTTCAAGATGATGTTCAGAAGACAGGAAGTCAAGTGCAGATTCTCACTATTGGGCAATCTAGCCATGATGAAGATGATGGAGAGAAGATGGCTAGTGGCCAACAACAGCAAAGCAAACAGGATCTTAGAACAGCAATGCAGAAGAAGGGTAAGTAGCCAAAGCCACCTTTGGATTCTCAATGCTTCTTTTATGTATGTTGACTCCTCTTCCTATTCTCAGGCTCAGCCCTAGCCTAAGCAGAGATCGGTACTCTGTGCTTCTCCCTTTCCAAGCCTTTTAGGCTTTGTCCTATTCTGTCCGTGAAAATAATGAAGTTCTCTCTTGTCCCAAGGAACAAGAGCCCTCCAGACTCTCAGGGATGCGGTGTTCCCATCTGCAGTGCAGTGCTGCTTTGAAGCACCAAGCAGATGCTAATACTCATATCCATCTGCTACGTTTTGATATATGACTCTCAAAATCACATACTTGAGGGCTGAAGAAGAGTATGGAATAACAACATTTAAACTAGAATATTAATTTTAATTTTGCTGTCAGCTAAACTCTTCGTAGTTTCACAATGTGTGTTCATGCTTGCAGAGGTGAAAATTACAAAACTGCATTCTGCAGCGTTTCTCACGCACAGTTCTGAAATGCTCTGGATTTTTTATTTTTTTTTTCTGAAGGCATGCATGATTTGGGAGCTAGATTGTGTATGTACGCATTCATGCATCTATGCCTTCCTTCCTGCAGTGCTATTATGTCTTGTTAGACATTAGCTGTAGGAAGGAAAAAATCCTAAAATCTTCACAAAGCTTTTACTGAAGGCATTTACTTAAGGGTTGTTCTTCTTCAGTGTATAGCTTTTGAAGCTAGGATAGCCTGAGCCAAGAGTACTCTGATGCTTTAAGAATAAACTCCTTGTGTATAAAGAGCAAAATATAAGTGCAAACTTGACTCATCTAAAATAGACTATTCATACCTAAATGCACGCTTCTTGTCTGCAGAGCAGTTCTCACTATGATCCGTTTTTTCTGGGACATTACTCTGCAGATGTGAGCAGCTTCAACTGAAATGGGCAGGTTTTATCCAAGTGGGGCACTTCCTGGGCATTTGAGTCAGAGGGATGTTGGCATGACTAACTAGTGCTGATCTGTGTGGTGATTGTGTTGCCTTAGACCATGGCTCAGAATTTTTAATAGCCAGGCACACTACTTGCTAAGGCTGGTTGACTTTAAAAAAAGATTATCAACAGACTTCTCAAATTAGGTCAGAGCACTCAGGTTTTTACTCTGGGGTACATTTCTATTTTTGATGTTTTTTCCAGGTTAACATATATTTTTATTCTCTCCTTTATTTCGCCAATAAAATCAATAAATAGTATGACCTTTTTTAACCCCTCTCTGAGGATACTCCTGATCAGAACACAACACTGCTGAGGCTGGTAGCCTGGTATGCTTCAAACCTATGGAGGGGCTTTTTTTTTTTAAAGTGGAAATGTTGGGGTTTCCTGATTTTTGAGAACAGAGCTATCATCTGTGGGACACAAAGGTATTAAGACAAGACTCCAACTAGTAGTATTTCTCTAAAATATTTTTTACTTTGCATATGTGGTTTGCCACATGGTACTGATAAAGGAGGCTTGATAGACTGTTTTGAGCATCCCAGAAGTCATGGGAACCTTTACGTAGAACTAGAGCTTTTCATTAGTTTCTCACTCTTGCTTCGTGCTTCTGGCATGTCTTTATTGGCGTATCCTCATTGGTTTGAAAAAACCTTTAGAATTGCTGTCTCGCATTGGTGGTCCTCTTGCATGGAATAGGAGCAAAAGGAGAAAATCACAGAGGTGGCTGCTAAGTGTCCTGATGGGAAAGGGCAGGTCGAGCCCCATTAGGTTTGTTTAGCTCTGATCTGTGCCCGTTCTGCTCTTTGATTCTAACTTTGTGGAGAGAAGCCTCTCTCAATATGTGTATTTCTCCTCACTGAGGTTCACCCTGCAAGTTCAGTTACAAGACAGAGAGGCCGTAGGCTACTTGAATGTGAAGAGAATATGCCGCTTGCAAGAAAATGCCAAACATTTTATTTGATTTCTCCATCTGTTGGAAGTTGGCATAGCTAGAATCATTTTCTTCTTGCAGGGAATATTCATCCTTTAGATTTCAGGAGTCTTAATACATAGAAGTCATTGCTGGCAAATGAGTCACTAGGACAGAGTCAGACTTCTGTAAGTTTTAACACTGGATAATTAACATTCAGTCTTCATGTTTATCAGTTTCCTCCATTTCTCTGTAAAGACTTGGAATGAACAATTTGGTTGTAGTTCTTTGCCACGTGAAGTTACAGCTGTTTTGAAACTTAGGGAAGGAGTAGATTTAATTTCTGGGCTCAAGAACAACACAGGAGCTCTTTGAAGCATTCTCCCCCACAGGTCCTGAGTGCAGACTTTCTAAGACAGGCACAGAATTTTCACCACCAAAATATTGGTAGTGAAATACATAGCATGAATGTAGAAATAAACTCTTTGTCTGTCCATGCTAGCATATCCAAGTGTGGCTTTTCTGCACAGCTGCCAGCTGAAGAAATGGATTGCCTCTGTTAACCATGCATATTTGACTAGAACATCGGCCGTCATTATTAAGAACTAATGTTTGCAATTAATGAGCGTGTGATTAATAATGAGTGAGTTCTGCAGGCTTTAAAAATACCTCTTGACCTGTGAACTCAGCCTTATCCTGCATAACCAGATCCTATTGAAACTTTTTGCTGTCATGCTGGATGGTGTACGTGCAGACTGGGGGAACTGAAGAAGTAGATAATGAGACCATTTGCAGTGCAACTGTTCCTGAATAAATATTTGTGTAAAATCTGTGTATATCAGGTGTGTCTATCAGCTTATTTTGTGCATATTAGAATTCAAAAATAGGCCAAAAACTTACCGTGAAGGGCATGCCATTCACAGAAGTGTTTTAGCACGGCTGGTAAGCTTGAGCTCTGAATGAGGGCTTTATGACTTTATTCAAAACACACCAAAGAAAGTGACAGCAGGTATAAGCAGGTGGAAGGTGAATTTGATTATGCAGAAAGACACAATGTCCCTAATTGGAAATTGTGGCAGCAGTTATTTGGTCCCCTTGAGTAAGCCTTTAGTCCTGTGAGGAGTCAGGCTTGTTCACACACTTAAGGGTTTGCAGAATCAAGCCCATGGATTTTTTCCTTTCCCAGATCCCCATGCAAATACATCCTGGTCCTCTTCCACCTCCCAATCCAGTCTTGTCGCCCTGGATCATGTTCCTGGTAAGTACAGAAGGAAAAAGTTAATTATGCCCATGCTTTTTAGCTCTGGAAATCTTTGCATTTCGTTTATCCTTCTGCATCAGACTTACCAACAGTGGAAATTCAGGACCAAGTTTTTTCTATTTTTTGGGGGGAGAAAAAAATGCTGCGTAGGTTGCCTCTGATATGTGAAACCTGAGTACAGGGTGGCTTCATCTGCATGACACTCCTTGAAAAACTAGGCCTGGCAAATGTCCCACCATTGACACTTTCTGCTGCCAAATCCTGTTTGATGTTCAAAGTTTTGTTCCCCTTTGAAATGTCTGAGGTTTTGAATTCTTTTAAAGTCAAATTTTTAAGTGCTCTAAGGCAGTTCCTATGGCCTGCACTGATACCACTTTTTACATGGAATAAATATGCATAAGAACACTTCCTTGATGTGAATATTTTCCTCTCACTGTTAAGATCTGGGCTTTATCTGATCTCCTAGGAACAGTTAAAAGTGTGCTGTAGAAGGGTTTGTATTTTAACTGGTACGGTTTCCAAATGGCTGTCATAGGTTGTCCACTCAGCTTCAATTTCAGGTGTAAGATTTTCGTTGTGTTTGAAGTACTCAATGGGATTTAGAAGATTTTAATTTATTTTCTAGCTGTATATTGTTGTATCAATGTGTACCTCAGTCCTCCCTGTGGAATGGAAACCATGCTATTTCCTTTCTCATTTGCTGAAATGTGTTGGCTTCTCATGCAGGTGCTGTCTCAGCCATGTATTATTTGTACAGCGCCTCATATAGCGACCCCCCCCCACGCACACACCCTCTCTCACCTGTAAGCCTAAAGGTGCAACAGCATAAATGGTGTTCTGCATCACGTATGGGCAGATTCAGTGTGTTAGTATTTCATAGGGCGCTGCTTTCTCCTCAGGCATTTCAAGCAGCATGAATTTTGATGAGGAAGAGGATGAGGAAGATGAAGACAGCTCCAGCTCTTCACAGCTAAACAGTAACACCCGGCCTGGTTCCGCCACAAGCAAGAAATCCAATAAGGTAAGGAGTCAGTACCAAAGCAGGAGCACGTTGGTTTCTGTGTACTGCATCACTTCAGAGAACAGTCAGGACAGGCCTGGCTTTCCTGTTTTGTTCTCAGTATACACTAAAGCATCTCTGAAGTGATTTACTGTGATAGTTCTCAGTTCACAGAAGCAATGAAAATAACAACTAGGAGTAATGAATAGCAAATATTTTCTGAACTTAAATGAAGAGAAAGGTAAACAGTAAATATTTACCTTTCTGCCTCTTGTGGGTGCTCAGAAGGGTCTACTGCCTTTTTCTCATCATTTTCCCACCCTGCTCTTGCTGCTACTATCTAAAGGTAAAATAAGGCTTCAAATATTCTACATCACGAGCTCTTGCTAAACCAGTGGACGGTGGCTCACTCTTTTATGTACTGCACCAAATTCTCGTCCCTTTTGGAGTTCTCTCTAGCTTAATCCGTCTCTCGCCATCCCATTTCTTCCTTTAATCAAAGACCATCACTGTTCTTGGATATGAGCCTTCTCAAAAGAGAAATACGTTGAGATGGGAAAGTGTGAGCCAGGGTCTGCTTTGTAACGTTACAGCAATCTGATCGTGCAGCTGCCCTGTTCTTTGCCAGATGTGTCTGTTTGCTCAACGTCAGTAGGATAGAGAAATTCTCTATGGGCCTTTGGTAGCCAAGAACTCAACCAACTGGATAGGGAGAGGTACTTAGCTTGGTAAGTTGCCTTGAAGCCACCGAGCTATCAGAATAGAAAAGACAATGTGTCCCGTGTGTTTGTTTGTTTTTAGTGCAGCTGTCATCAACTGCCACTCCTTTGTACCTAAAACCTTGTAACTCAAAGCTGAGGAAACCTGAGTTTTGCTTTCTGTTTTAGGAAGCGGCCTCAGCCCCTAGTCCTTCCACAAATGAGCCTCTCATAGATGTCGATGACCTGGAGGAATTTGCTGTAAGACCTGCTCCACAGGGTGTCACCGTCAAATGCAGAATCACAAGAGACAAGAAAGGAATGGATCGAGGGATGTACCCTACATATTACCTCCATTTGGAAAGGGAGCATGGTAAAAAGGTCATAAAATACCTTGAATGGCATATCAGTTGCATCTGAATATATATATATATATATAAAAGTCTGAAGAAGTCTTACAAGGAAAATATAATCTTGTATTTTATATGCCTTTTCACTAAGTTCTGCCCTACTGTCTTTCAAAAGCAAAACAACAGTATCAGTTTGTTCTGCTGCCTGTCTTCATATGCCTCATCTTTGGCCTTAAATAATCCATGCGTGGCACCTTAATGTGACAGCTGCATTCTGTGGCCTGAAAAGCATCTCTTTCAATACCAGCGGAAGGGAGTGCAACCTAGAATTAAACATTTAACAAAATAGGTTGGATTTAATTATTTAAACCATAAATAATGGACCGAGTGGTTGAGAAGTTACTTTCTCTTCCTGATTTTTATCTGTTTTTGCTAAGTCCCAGGAGATCTTCTGTTTGCTAATGGTGCGGGAAGACAGAAAAATTGCCTGTGGTTTCCTTATATCAAAGCAGGATATGGTGTGTGCTAACCCCTTTGGCATTCTAGAACATGGTGTTTTTTTGCACTGCTTAGGTTTTTCTGTTAGCTGGAAGGAAGCGAAAGAAGAGTAAAACCTCTAATTACCTCATCTCCATAGACCCAACTGACCTGTCTCGGGGTGGAGAGAGTTTTATTGGAAAACTGAGGTAAACACTGATACATCTAAGAATTTATATACATAGAGAGAGAGTGTAACGTTCATTTGAAATAAAGAAGTCTTTAATCATTGTGACTTCGTAATTGGAGTTTTGACTACATCATGTGATAATGGTTTTACAGTTTACCACTTTTCAAGTCATATTTTTGGAATTTCTCAAGTACTTATGAAGCCACGTTTTATTAAAAGTCAGCAGACTGCGGCTCTTAAATGCTCATAGGCCAGATTCTCAAGGGTGTATGGGCATCCAAAGATACAGACAAGTTATCTTAATGGAATTTAAAGAAGTACATGAGCAGATTATAACTAGCTGCTGTTGATATTTCGGGAGTTCTGTCTTAAATTATTTGAAAATCTCCTGAGTTTTGCTCATTTCTTAAGATCTTAATTAGAGTTATTTACATGTACTGGAATTTGCTCGGAATCACGTGCTTCTTTTCTGTCCGTCACCCCATCATACATCAGTCTTGTTGATACCGACACGGTGCCTCTCAATGTATGCTTAGATTGTCTGTGCCGGAGGAGAGGGACCGTACCCCTAATTGCTGTTTGCCTGGGTGAATCTCAGAACTTAATGTACTGCTGCAATGCAAACACAGAAGGAGGATAAAGCAGTGTTAATGTTTTCTAAATCGTATTTTGCACTTCTTGGTATGATTTCCAGTTAAATAGTAAAGACCAATCTTATTTCTAACCTTATGAAAATCACCGTTTGTAGTCTAGTGGAGCTCGTAATTAGGTAAGAAGGCAGATGGTTTTGTAGAGAGTAAGCATACTGAAAAAAGAAAAAAAAGAGAGAAAAAAAATCAAACAAATAACCCTAACCCCACCTTATTGCATTCTTGAATTTACTAGTTTACGAGATGTGATGAGAAGTCTTCAGTGTAATGATAGGAACCTTTGCTGTGCTCTGCGCTACCTTTACATTTTTGTTATGGCCTTTAATTCAGGAGGTGCCATTCAGCTGGGATTAGAGTTAACAACTATTTGTACTTCATATTATTTGTCTTTTCTTTGGGGCTACAGGGCAGTAAAGGATAGATGTCTGAGGCAGTGTAATTGACAAATGGTGATTGGATTTTCCATTTTTTTGATAGATCAAATCTTATGGGAACTAAGTTTACAGTTTATGACAATGGAGTAAATCCAATGAAAACAACATCAAGCCTGGAAGCGAGTATCCTGCGTCAGGAGCTAGCTGCTATTTGTTATGTAAGTACTGCTCACAGGCAAAATATGCAAGAAAGGGCAGCTCAGTTTCTGAAATAACACACTGAATTTCCTTCTCACTTAAGATTATGTAAGTCAACATTTATGCTTTGACGTAATGAAACACCTGATCTTCACCGGAGAAACCGGGAAATTCGGTAGAAAGTAGAGGTGAAAAATGTCGTGCATAGAACCAGGTTGCCCAGTTCTCACTTTTGATCAGAAGACGCTGGAGCTCTTACATAACCCCCCAAAAGTAGGATGCTTCACAGACTGCAGGCACCATCTGGGGGAGCCTCCTGAACTGGGAGAAGTTGTGTACCTGGAGTTGCTGAACTAAGTCATGATCATTTATAATGACATTTTGGGGGAGGCCTCTCTGATCCAAAACACATAGCTGGACAGTTGGGTCTGCAGCAGTGGCTAAGAGACTGGCATAAAAGTTCTAAAAATCCTTTTTACCTGGAAAGCAAAACAAAGCAAATCAAATTTGTTTTTCAAAATGCGTTTGAATGAGAGAAAACTGCTTCTTATAGGAGAGTAAATAGCTTTTGTCAGAAGCAATGCAGACAACTAGGACTTAGAGCACAGTTGGTGTTGTGGAATGGCTACAGGATGACTAACTGCATTACTGAGAGTGTTCTGCCCAGAAATCTCTGGGTCCAAGTAACTCTTCTGATTTGTATATGCAGTCCTATAGAAAATTTTCTGTTTGCCTAAATCAACAACTGACCAAAATATTCAGGAATCACTTTCTGAAAAGTTCTTATCTAATTCAAATCAAGAATGCCAGTTCAAGGTCTAGTTGTCACAACATTTCACCAGCATATGCACAGAATGTGTCCCTGGAAAGGTCAGCTTCGGGATGCAAGAAGCAGTGCGCCTGGAAGCTTTAAGCAGGAAAGGAAAAGGAAAGCAGAGATCCATCCTTACCATGTAAAGTGCTGAGAGCACCGAGGTGACAGTATTAACTTTTAGTGTTCTTTTTCTGCTGCTTAGTTTGTAGTTTTTATGTGAATATTTTATAAATTGTGCATTTCTTCATATGCACTTATTTGGGCACGTGGTCTCTGCACACACAAGTGCACAACATGGTCCCTCTGTACCGGTTGGATTTGAAACTCTGAGAACTTCAGAAAATCCAGATAGCAGGATTTAACAACAGAGTCCAGGATTTGATGTCAGTTTGTAGTTCAACTGAAGTTTCAGTAGGAACCTAGAAGAACTTCCATATTTAAAAAAGGTAATTTTACTAGTTTACACAGGAGGGCATTCTCTAGCACCAGCTAACTAATCATTTGGTGCAAACTGGAAATGGAAATAGAAAACAAAAACAGTTTTAAAAAGTTATATATTGAAAAATTCTGGCACTGTTTGTATAAGGGAGCAACACTGATATCTGAACAATTAACAATACCAAATAAGAAACTCAGTTGCAGTCAGCAGAGGTAATGAGAAGTTGCAGCGCACGTGTTGGAAAGAACAGAACCACAGTCCCTGTTTGGAGAATGTGGATAAGACTAAGGCTGGTTTTATATGCCTGTTTTCAGATCAGCAGTTTAAAACTTGTACATTTGTATTAGAAAATGACTCATTCCACTGATGTCTTAATACTGATGGCGAAAGGCAGCAGGCTTGCCGGTGTGCTATGTCCAGAGGACAAAAGGAAATCTAAATTAAGTTTCATTAATAGTTAGGTTTGCTAAGGTGAGATTAATGTTCCTGAAAGCAGCAGAACCACAGCAAAGAATGCCGTAAAGAGCACTCCTGAAACACCCTTGTCCTAAGGTAACTTAATTCTTGCCTTGAGATTTTTCCTGCAGCAAAAAATTTTAATAAGCAGTATCTTGAAAGTGCCACTATGCAGTTCACTGTGTCTCAACTCATCCAATCAAGTACCCATCGGGAGAGCAAGCTGCACCCGCTCCCACCAAGTCACCGAGCCTGACCTGCTGAATCTTCGGCAGGTCTGGTTTATGCAGGCAGAAGGTAGCAATATCTGTCATTAATTGTGGGATAAACAGAGAGCTCTCATTGTGGAGTTCACCTTAAGACGTGTTTCAAGCAACATGAGTAACATTAGTGCAAAGACTGAGTTTCATCAGGTGCTCTTACCCATTTTTACCTTTCTCGATGATGGCAGGCTAGCACACTAATAAATCTGCAGCAGCACCTAATGGCTGATTTCAGAATCGCTTGGCAGAATTTATCAAGAAACAAGGAGACCTAACTGTACCTTTTGTACCAGGATTTTCTGCTCCAGGTTCCTTTATATCCACAGTATCGCACAATTCAGTTGGCATCAGGTTCTACAGGCAGGGAGCTCAGCTGGCATTGTGAGGTGTGACTCAGGTTTCAATAAAGCAAGAATAAAACTACGTATTCATGATTAGGCCTCAATCACTTGTATTATGCTCTCACGGAGTGGGGTTTGTGGTTTTGGGTTTTCTCTGAAAATCTGTGTTTCTACAGAATATATTAAGGACAAGGCATGCCTGTGCAAATCCAAGTCCGGAGAGGAAAGTTGCTGAAGTAAAGACAAATATGGGATAATGAAATTGTGAGTCTCCTGGGAGCTGCTGGCATATACAGCGTACAGCTTTTATCGTGGCAGCTATTCCCAATACAGTGAATACAGTAACTCAAGACTGCCAGTGACATTAAACTGGTGTGAAATCATAATTCGGCCTATGTTCCCTAATAGTGCTGTTGGTAGTCTTGAATTTGCACATGCAAGTAGAGAACCCGGGAGACAAGGGAAAATAATTTTGGTTGGTGCAACGTAGATTGGAAAGGTCTGCTCTTAATTTAAGCTCCTCTTTTATCCACACTGTTTTCCTCATCTATTCTATGCCTGTAGAGTTTTAATTCTGTATCTTGAGTTTAGCAAAAGGATCACGTTTGCCAATAAATGTTCGGTGTAATTGGTGATTGATGCAATGTGCAGCTAGAAACCATTCCTTTATCATTTGGCAGAAAGACTGATTTTACGTTTCTGAATAAATCCCAAGAATACAGTACTGTTGTTTCAGAGTGATAGCACTGCTTCTTGGGAGGGAAGTGATTCAGCACTATTATTTAATTTTACCTTGAACAATGTCTTCGACCAGTCAGCATCTAAATGAATTGTGGATAGCGTAACAGCAGCTTGATGAGAAGAAAAGCTTGTAAGGCATTGCAGAGAAGACCAAAATTGTCAGCAGTTAGTGGAAAATAAGCATAAGTATGAATCTTTTCTTAGAAATTGACTTCTGCTCTGCTGAGTCTCTCCTGCTTATAAAATCTGCTGGCAGTCATTTTAGTCTGAGTCTTGTCACGATACAAAACCGAGTAATGCTTCCAACTGAACTGAAAACATCGGTTTACTTTGCCAGGGCCCTTGATGCAAGTGATTTGGGAAAGAGGTTGAATCTTTCCCATTAAAGTATATAGCCACGGACGTATATAAATATACCTAGATTGCTTCAAGAGTATTTATTAAAATGTCTCGGTGGAGTTTTCCTAGCCTGCATTCAAATCATCAATGAGTTGTGTAAAATCTCCAGCTGGTTTGCTGACACAGCCAAAACTATTTCAAAGGTCTGATAAATGAAAAATATTCCCTACAAGTCAAATTTGCACGGCCCCCTCCATTTGTGAATGGTGAAGGGGGAAAAATGTATGTGAGAAAAAAAAAAAAAAAACAAACTACAAAACATGAGGGTCCGTGGAGTTGGACCTTTAGAGGTGTCACTGTCTCGTGTGGTTGTATTTTGAGAGGATAGTGCAATACTTGGATGCTTTTGTGAAAAACTGGTCAGAAATGCCTCAAATCATGCTTAATGGAAGAACTTGTACTTCCCATGGATTTGTTGTTGGTGCCCATGTTATTTCTTTACTTTCTCTGCCTCCATAGCTCAAAAATCTGCGTTCATGCTAATGTGTTTGTTTTTTGCCATGCTCATCTTTAAGCATAATATATCTGAAGACTGAAAACCACAGCACTGGTAACAGATGCTCTTACTGGCAGCTTCTTCTTGTTTGCTCTTGTACTGGCTCTGGAATAAATGGAGTTGGTCCCATATATTTAATTTAGTCTCTCATCAAAATGTGTGACTGCGTTTTATGATTTTTAAAATACAACTACTGTATTTTCAGATCTAGCAGTATCCAAGCAATTTGGTTAGTTCCTATCTTTTTTTTTAACAAAGGAATTATTTTTTTATTTCTTAAATTGTATTCAGGTTGCTGGCAGCCAGTGCTAGGAGTGTTTTTGGAAACCTCTCTATTTCTATTTTTCCTGTTGTCAGAGCTTCTCAGACAAAGCTAGAGTTTGGCAGTGCCAGTGAAGGTAGGAGTTCAAGATGTCTTATGAGTTCACTAACAAAAGTTTCCTGGGCTATTTCTGTATCTTTCTGTTGAAGAAATTAACTTTAAAAATACAGAACGTGATGAGCTCTTTTCTAATTACATTTAGGAAACAAATGTCTTGGGGTTTAAAGGACCTCGTAAAATGAGTGTGATCATACCAGGAATGAATATGGACCACGAACGAGTTTCCATCAGACCACGAAATGTAAGTCCATCAGTCAACAATAAAAATTACTTTTTTTTTTTTTTTCAGATAGAGTTAGTTTTTTGCATTTCTGGAGTTTTAGAGATTTAAAAAAAATATGCTAGAACAGTTTCAGAACAATGGGATGTGTGACTAGTTCTGTGACTCACAACAGCACTACAAATAATAATGTATTTTGATAACAAAAGATGCAGCTAACCTTTTCCAAGCTGCAAAAAGGACTCGACTGCATAGCCTAATTAAGATACTCAGAATTCTCTGTTTCATTTGATGATGCTGTGCTGAGAGTTGACAGTGACAGTTAAGTGTTTTGGCTTGGATTTATGGACATTTGTGTGTGTATGTGTGAATTTATTTTTTCATCTTTTGTGATTGTTAAACTGAAGTGCTTCTCTTTGGTGTGTGCAGGAGCACGAGACACTGCTTGCAAGATGGCAGAACAAAAATACAGAGAGTGTCATTGAGCTGCACAACAAAACTCCAGTGTGGAATGATGACACTCAGTCCTATGTTTTAAATTTCCATGGTCGAGTCACACAGGCCTCAGTGAAGAACTTCCAAATTATTCATGATAACGATCGTAAGTTTGTCTGTCTCTTTTTAGTGTGTAGAAACAGTACTACATACCCAGCCTGGCAGTGATTCTGCCCTTACTGTTGTTACCTGGATGAGTTTAGTTTAGTTGTGTGGGTCCAACTCACTGCATCGTGTACCCCCGTTCAGCAGGACCATGGGGCAGCATCACTTCACTCAATCACTTCAACCACATTGCCCTTCCTTGATTTTTTTATGTGCTCTGGTCTCCATACACTGTCCAACTGGTGGTGCTCTGACTGGTCTCATTCTGCATCCACTTCACCATAACTACTCTTTGTAGCATTAGCCCTACCAAGCATCCGGAAAACATCAGGACTAGAAAATGTCAGGACTACCTTTCACACCACCTCTGGCTCCGTACCTGCATGCTGCATTCCATCAGCCATGTAGGGCCCTCTTTTTTTTCACAGGCTTAGGTACGATTGTTGGAGCAGGGCAAAAGACAAGTGCTTGAGCAGTGCGGGGCTGCCCCACTTTGCACTCGCTTCAGGAATGCATAAATAGTCACTGGTGCCGGACCACACTGGATTAGGACAGTGTCATGCTTAGACAGCCAGGGAGTATAGGAAACTGTGGTAAAAGTGACTGTGCCAGTCTCCAGAAGCAACGCTGTTTGAAACATCAGTGCATGCATTTGATGCGTTTTCTAAGGGAAAACAGATCTGCATCTTCAATGAAACAGGTTGTTTCAGACAGTGAATGAGGCTGAGATTTCCTCTTGCTGCCAAAGAGTACAAAAAGGAAAAAATTTTGAATATGATGTAACATGGATGCATGACAACATCTAAATGACAATCATACATTCCCTCTCTACCTTATGCTTAATTGTCCAGTTGCCTTCAGTTAAGTAGGAATAGAATTAATTGATTCCTGTGGCACGTGAAACCCTGTACTAGGTCTCTGTAAGAAGCTTGAGCATTTTATGGAGAAATAATTTTACCTCTGTTTAAAAAAACAAAACAAAACAAAAAACATTTTAATCTATGTAATTTCTCTGAAAGTCAGTAACAAGTCTTGCAGTCCTTAACCACTTAAATATTCCTCACTCAACTTGCTACTCCCTATCAGATACCAGTACACCCACTCATGTGAGTAAGTGTTGTGAAGTTTGATGTGTGAGCGTGTTTCATTTGTACTTTGTTCAGCTGGGTCAGAGGAGGATGTTTGTATGCTTATTTAGTGAGGGCTGTGAACAAAAATAATGCTTTGTCTTTTTTTGACCTGTCTTGCAGCTGACTATATAGTGATGCAGTTTGGCCGTGTGGCTGAGGATGTGTTCACCATGGACTACAACTACCCAATGTGCGCGCTACAAGCCTTTGCTATTGCCCTTTCTAGTTTTGACAGCAAGCTGGCTTGTGAGTAAGGGGGTATGGGAAAGCATCCTCTCAGAGGAAGCCGTTTGCCATACGATTCCTAATTCTTGCTGGTGTCACCCATGGTCCGTACTAAACAGGTCAGGGAAAATGCAATTGCGGAGGACCACTGGATCGCTGGAGAGAAAGTGAAAGGAACCTTCTAAAAAATCAGGACATTCAGGAAATGTTTTCCTTTTTTTCTGTCATATTTTTCTGGAAGTGGCATCAAGTTTGTGTAAATAGAGGTTCTGTCTCATGTTCTTGATTATGTTATGGAGATGTGCCATGATGTACTGTACCGTGGCTCTAGTAGCACCATGATGACGGTGTGTCTTTTTTAAATCCAGAAAGTGCGCTCTTGAAAAATGTCTTTTTACGTTTAAGATTGATTCTGAGGCTGCAATCATACCTCAAGGTTGCATTCCTACATTGAATAATCAGAACTTGACATCGTCCAACATGAAAGAAAGATCACAGAAAAAGCACCTTTTTGAATTTGCAAGGATCTCGTGTAGTTTAAAGCCAAGTTTAAGGGTTGAAAACCTATACTGGACTGAATTTGATGCATTACTATTGTATATGTAGAAGGGCATGATGAATTTTAATCGCAGTAGGAGGAAATGAAGTAGAAAGCACAAAATAATGTTGCACAAGTCACTTGAATTCTAAGCTGTCATTATGTTTTAACATCTATATGCTTTTTAATTTTTTCAAATGAAAATGTATTGGGAGTACAGGAAGGAAAAGGGAAACCTCTAGGTGCCAAGAAAGCATAACTTATGCTGAATTTGGCATGTTGCGTGTTGGGAATTTATAGCCTTGTATTGCTGTGGTAATTCAAACATATTTTGTATGAAGTGATATAAACAGTTGGGTAAAGGCTTTCTGCAGATAATCTTATTATTTTAAGCGGGCTGTGTAAAGCTGAGGAAGGTAAATGGAAATATTTTATTAAATTTGTCTGACCTTTTGCAATTTCACAATTTGTTGACTGCATTTTTGAACTTTCAGCAACAATCACTTTTCATATTTATTTCCCATTGTAAGAACAATGAAATCGACTGAAACTGTGTATGTTGTTCTGTAATGTAAATGTGCCAGCTACTGAGCTAAATCCTTCTAGGCAAATCTAGTGTATGCTGCATACAAATGAGACATTGGCAGGACACTGAATAGCATAAAAATAGTGTGAAGTTTGTTTCATTTTTTCTGATTTGTATGGAATATATAAACAAGTACCATTTCAAAACCCAAGGAAAGAACAAGCTTCTCTTCTCTTCTTTTCTAAACATCTCAAAATCCAAGAGCTGCAACTGAAAGCACAGCATAAAACAGATTTAAAAATAATGAATCTTTCTGACATTGTTCCATACAATGCTGTTGCCAAAGGCCCACAACATAACAGAATTTAGTATGTAGTTCACCAGAAGGGTATTGAAAGGTGTGTAAAGTGAAAAAGTAGTTGTATTTTATACTGTGTATATGCAGATTCTCCTTTTTATCTTCATAGCCTCATGTTGCACAACCAAAGTTTACATAATAAGAAAGCGAGATCAAATCTGCTTGTCTCATAGCTGTCAGTCCCTTTTTGACTACAGGGGACAGGCCACAAGGAGAGGTTGTGCCATCTGGACTATTTAATTTCAACTAATAAAAGAAATATACTCTCTTTTTCATATTTGCCTTCAGGTCTCCTTCCCAGTATACAGGCAAGGGAATTTCAGATAAGAGATGGAAATAAGTAATTGCCAGCATTTTTTCTAATCCTTTTGAAATCTCTGTCAAAAAAGTCTGCTGACTTTGAGCAGTGTTTTGGTGATAGACTCAGTCTGTCAAATGTGATCTTTAAATAACAGGAGGCTCCGTAATTTTTTTCTGATCTTTGGCAAGAAGCGTTTCTGCACAATGGTATAAAATGGAGCGACGCCTTTTATTGGAAAGAAATGAGCAGGCAGCTCCCTCAAAGAACGATCAAAATGATGACTCACGAGCTGCAGGCTGATACTGAACGCTTTGCGCATGGGTGCTTTCTTTTCCCCTCTGCTTGGTGGTTTCCCACCACCTCACATTCCTACCTGTGATCACACTTTGGATTTTAACTGAGCCCTTTGGTACCTCCTGTCAGTCTTTACAAACTGACACAGTTTTCTGGCTCTCTCTGCGCACAAAGCTGTGTTAAAGGAACCAAGCATCTGCTGGTGCAAACACACAATCTTTAGTAGCTGAGTTGGTTTAGGATGGGTTATTTTTAACCTGGGTGATAACAATGGTCTGACTTGCATCATGGCCCCACAGGGAATTGGTCTGAAAAGGAAGCTCATGTGCAGTGAACTCTTGCACAAGGGTGAGAATGAGGGGCTGGGAAAAGGCAGAGAGATCAGCTTCTTGGGAGAGCGTTGCTGCCAGCACATTGTGTAACCTCACCCTCGCTGCATGTTCTTTCCAGGCCAGGTATTTTTTTGTAGCCTGTAAGCATGCCAGGAGGAAAGTGGTGACTCAAATTCCCATAATCTTATCAGAATCGTACAGGGACATCAGCCAACATGCTGCTGGAAAAAAAAAAAATAAATCCCTACCATAAATTGAGGTCGCTAGAAGGGGACGTTAACCTGGGGCTAACAACAACGAGGAGCTCTCCTGAAATCTGGTTCAGTCGCAATAGGATTTACACTGAGTGGCTTTTGCCAAGCCCCTAATTCCTCACAAGGTGCTGTGCTCTTGTGCTCTCTAAGAACGTAATGGTACTGAGCTGTGTGTTTCCTTCGCACAGTCCTAGTGAGTGTTTGGACACAGCAGACGTAGTATTATTTAAAATCCCCCTACTGATGATTTTTTTTTTTCATCTGCTGTTGTTTTTGGCAGAGCGTTGTAAACAAATTCCCTGCCTGAATCGCTTATAGGCAAATCCTGCACGCTTTAATGAGAGTCCTTAATCTAACTTGTCACTCTGTTTACATCAAACGGTTTCTTCCTGGCCCTTTATCTAATTTTCTTCATCTCTGATGTTCTGTTCCTTCTCGTTCTCTTCACAATCCCTTTATCTTTCCTTCAAGGACGTGCAACTCCGAAGTGTTTATTTTGACAATATTACTCGGTGATCTCTCCGCAGCTGAGTAATGCCTTCAGTGCATATCCAGTGATGCTCCTATAATAGAAGCCTTATCAGAGGGGTGAATTTGGCCCTTTGGCTTTTCGGTGGAGTAAATTAACACATTAAAAGGAAGCAGATAAAAAAGCTTGCCTAAAATGTAAGCACAATTTCTCTCGGTAACTGTTCAGGAACCAGAGGTTCCAAAACGTTGGTTGCAAATCAATGAGCAAAACTGTCCGCAAGCCCAGAGGCAAACTGTCACACAAATCCGCTTTGTAGCGCTGCCTTATTTTTCTTTTCAAAAGGCTGAAAGAGATTTTGTGGACTAAAATGTGTTGGTGCCCTAAAAGAGAGTTTATTTTCCAAGAGCTAAACATCACTCTGCTCCTTTTGTAGGATAAAAAACGGCACACGTCGGTGCATTCGTCCCATCCCATAGCCATGTCATAAGCCATTGTTACAAATTCTGATGCTAAGAAGTTTATGAGAATGGTTTTGTAATAAATACTGGGCAAATCTTTCGCTATTCAAGTCACCTTACAATAGTGCTGGAGTTTGCAGCTAGCTGGCTTCGTGAAGTACTAGAGCTAAAGGACCTCTAGTGAAAAGAGCTCTGCTAATGAAAACTTGTAGCTGCACGATCAAAAAACGTTGTTGTGAACTCAGATGATATCTGTCATGATGAACCAGTGCCATCAATTCAAACTTTCTGGCTTCTGCTCCCTTTTGATGAACAAAAGAAGAAAGAGGGACTTTCAACAAGCATCGACGTCAGTGAGGTCTGTAAAAGCAACGACCATTGCAGAGGGGTTTTTACCTGTAAATATCTGACCCCGACCTGAGTGCTGCCCAGTAAAAAATGAGATCGATCCAGTCCCTAGTAAATAAATGCATTCCCAGGTCTTGAATCTTAGCTTTTTGCAAATCTTATTATTCATTTAGTATTAATCTTATGTATAAGGATACAACGAGGACTGAATGTCACACAGCAATCTGGGGGTCTTCCTCTGAAGGGATGAAGACTCCAGATCAGTATCAGAATATTTTGTCTTCGATTATTTCAGTAAGCTAGGGCAGTAAGCTGGGTTACGTGGTGATTTAGGCAGAAAATTTCTGCTGATGTTTGATGGGCGTCAGAGAAAATTTTGGATTTGATCCTGTGGAATTCTAATGAGTTCCCCTGTGCTCTCACTGCTCTCCTAAAACAAGATTTGCAAGCTTTTTCCTGGTTTTAGAGAAGCAGGCACTCACCAATAACAGATCTTTGCTTGTCAAATAAGGACAGCGCGTGATAGAGCAGCAGGCACCGGAGGTAGAATCATGGGCTGATGGCTTTCAGATTTCTCAAAAGGCCTCATTTTGATTACTAGAAGAAAGTAATTCTACGTATAAATCGTGAGCTATCTAACTACAGGTTATGTGCTACTTCATGAACCTGTGTTTCTGTTGTTCTTTATGTATGCAATGTACCTTCTAGGTTGCTGCTCTGTAAGTGTTCATAATTAATTGTGTAGCTGCTCGTCAGTTCTTTCTGTTGCTTGCCAAGGAACTAAGAAAAGGATTTGCACAGCTATCTCAGTGTTTCGGTATTTTGCTGTGAATGATAGCTCAGTAGCTGATACTCACAAATGCCTGTGTACTGGATGAAAATGCATTAAAACTTATTTTCTATGTTGTATTTTATTTAACTGTCTAGAAATCTGAGATTCCTCTTTTTCATTAAGTGCACCTTGATTCGTTTTTTGTGCAAACCTGGTCCCTCCCTGTGCCTCAGTACTAGTGAGCTGAATGGAAATGACACTTTTTGGACCTGCCCACATCCGTGTTCTGCTGACGGGCAGCTGGATGGCAGGCACGGATGGTGTGCTGAGGAAGGAGATCAGTTCTCACTCAAGGAACTGCAGTAAGGTATGAACAACTCTCTGCAGCCCATGTAGAAACTGAATTCAACCAGTCCCTTAGGGTGAAGCCTTGACACTGCTGAATTCGGTGGAAATCTTGCCAATGCTTTCAGTGAGGATTGAATTTTTGACCTCGTGTCATTTTTAATCACCAAATATGCAGAAAAAAAGAAAAGAAAAACCATCGGATACCCTGCCCTTTCACAATATTGTCTTGGTTGTGTTTTAGTTTGCCCCATCCGTTGTTTTAAACTGCTATTCCTGAGCACGTTGCAGTGATTCAGAGCATCAAACTGCCTGCTTAGGCTTTTATGGAGCAAACTGAGACAACTTGGTGACTGTGCTGCAAATTGCCTTTTTGTACTTTTTTTTTCCCTTGGATGTGACTCAGCTGTTCAAAACTGTTGTTGCTGCAGTCTTTGACTCTGCCACGCACATCTGATTTAAAAACAATGAGTCTCGTGGTTTCTGACTACCTTTGTACTCGCATGGGATGTTTCCAGTGCAAGCTATTTCCCACATTTGACCCCATAACTGCATTATTTTTTTTTAAACTGAGGTTATTCCAGTTGGGACAGTGCCATTAAAAGTACCAGGAATTTATAAAGCGAACTTTCTCAAACTAACAGAATGTAAGCTATGAATGTGTTTCTAGATTTTTAACATTAAAATCAAGATAATTTTAAAGCTCGAAGATTGGATGAAATTAGAAGGAAATCATTTGCTCAGAATTATCTTTCCTCAAGCGTGTCTCATAGTTTGAGCTCTCATCTAAGCAGCCAGCTCCTGGTCCTGCAGTCCTGTCTGTGCAAGCAGAATACAGTCGGAGTTTGGCTGCAGGAATCTGTCAGGGTGATCAGGACACCGTAAGTGATGGGATTTCCAAACTCCTCACAAGACTGCGCTTCCTAATTCTTTGAACCACTTTTTAGTATCCCGTAAGAAGGTCACGTACCTTCGCTATGTTAACTTACCAAATGACATCAGAAATAGATTAATTCCCTTTGTTGTTTTTTTTTTTTTATTATTTATTTTCATTTTTTTTTTTTTTTTTTCAAGGCTTAAAAACTTCTTAGTGTCTAAGCAAGTATAATTTTATCAAACATTTTAGTCTTGATGTCTTGGAAGATTATTTCATGAGATTGTTTGTTTTGCCAGTGCAGAAGGCCTTGTATGTACACAGAACTGGAGCAAGCTCTGTGACAATGGGCTTCTGGCACTGCTCCTGCTGTAAAGCTCAGTGTCCAAACACGTTCATGAGCTGTGGCACCTCGCAACAGCAGATTTCCCTTGCAGACTGGGGACACCAGAAGATAACCCGATTATTACCATCTTGTTCCCTTCCTTAGGGAGCATCTCCTGCCCTCGCTGGCTAGAAATAGAATTATATTGCTCTTCATATGTCTTTAAACGTAGTGTTGTTTTTTTTTTTGTTTGTTTATTTTTGGTTTTGTTTTGTTTTCAGCTATTTGGATTGACAGAGGGCTTGCGATCGCAAGGATCTGTGATGACTACTCCTATGCTTGTTTTCAGCAGCGCTATTCTCTTTTTGACGATGTAGCACAAGTCCATGAGGAAGAATTCCTCTTTGCTATCACTTTGAATCCTTTCTTGCAGGTGGCAGATGCTTTCCAGCGTTTTACCAATCTGTGTTACTACAATTTCCTCATTTTATTCTAAGCTCGCTGATTTTTATTCATCTATAACTTTCTTGTTTCAAGCTTGCACAGGTTTTTCCATATGAGGCTACTCAAGAAAGCGAAGTTAGTGAAACCTAAAAAGTTTGTCTGTGAATTAAAGTGTGTTAAATCCCTGTGTATATGTTCTCATTTCAAAGTAGGGTGGCCTTTAATGCCGGTTGCATAATCCTCAGTGGGAGTATTCATCATATCACACAGTTCAAGGTTGGTAGTGAATTTTAAAGCACTGAAGAGGTTTCTGGCCAAGATATTGGAGAACATACGTAAAGGGATTCACCTTTCCGTATTCTCAGGGTGGCAATCGCCATACACAGCACAGCACTTCTAGCAGTCAGCTCTTTGCATTGTAGTCACAAAGCTCAGCACCTACACACCAAAGGCTGCATTTCTGAAGTCTCTTTTTTTTTTTTTTTTTTTAACTCTGGCATTTTTCAGCCCTCTCTGAATAACTGCCACCTGCACAGTGAATTTAAGCTTCCTGACAACCACGTGCTTGCTTTTTTGGATTCTGTGCAAGCCAGGGATCTGTGGACTATCCGCTGAAAGAGGCAGATTTAGTCGTATAGCAGAACATGGTACAAGTACACCAGTATAGTCAGGTTTGTTTTTACAGGGCCCATCACAGATGTGCTTGTTTCTCAGTGAGAAAATAATCTTCCTTTCTCTTTTTCATTATATCTGCCCGGATCTGGAGGACAAGCGCCCATTTTGGCATTCATGCAAGCACCTACCCCGTACAGAAAACCACACACCGTGTTTGTTATGGATGAGTTTATCCCTAAGCAATGCTCGCTGCCATGTAATCATGCATGTTTTCCTGTGTGTGCTTCCCACCCTGTGTGCTTGTCACCAGCTAGAAGGCACTGCTGCAAAGGTGTGTATGGAAGCTTTGAAAAGCAGCTGCAGAACCGAAGTCCTTAAGATCCAGTTCTCCTTATAGTGAAGAAATAGCTCCTCCTGAAGGCAGAGAATGGGATCTGTGGCTCTTTAAGTTTGAACTTTTCAGGTGTTTGCATAGAAGAATAAAAGTTCTTTATTATGCTTGCTTCTAAGCCCAGAAAAAAAAATAATTAAAAAAGAAATAATAAATTAAAGGAGTGCAGCTACAGAAAACAAAAGTGAAAAGAGGCTCCATTTACAGGTACGGAGCAGCTCCAGCATGCAAGTGAAGCAGTGATTAGGATATTTCTTGGCAGAAAATTGGCATCCAGCTTGGCATCCCTTGGAGTGAGTAACAGATGTCAGTAGGTGTCGATAGACTCTCATGGTCACTGGTTATGTTGCATTATATTATAAGAACTGTGCCCATACCAATTGTTTTTCTCCTAAACAGCTTTATTTGTGCATGGATTTCATCATGATGACATTTTTACCCATTTATTTCTGTTTAGGGCTTAATCCAAAGCCTGCTGTAACTGCAAGTTTCTCTTTAATTTCAGTTGTCTCGCCATAATGCCTTGTGTGCACATCTCTAATGCTTTCTTTTCTTTCTATATGGACTTACCTGAATTCATAGAAATTGGACATTATTGGCATGAATACTTCTGAAAGTGGATTTAGAAATGTGACCAAATTCTGCCCATACTTTGTTCATGCCAAACTGTTTGTCAGTGAAGAACCTGAGCTTTTCTATTAAATATGACACATAATTAAGAATGTCGTTATTACAACCAAACAGGGGAAAAAAAAAAAGATAATAGTTGTCCATGTTTTAAGGAATAATACCAAACAACTGACCCTGCACAACAATTGGCAAAGCACATGCAAAGTTTCCCTAAGAAATAAGGTCAGTAAGAAACAAACCTCATTCAGTGGGTTAGTGTCAAATACATATAAAAAAAAAAAAAAGAAAGATAAATATTGGAGCTTTGTTAATTTTGTTAGTCTCTTAAAAGTGTAAAATTCTCTTTTTGTGGTTGAAATTAACAGTTTATATCTGTCTGTGAAGAAAAATGCAGCTTTGATTCTGAATTATTTAAACTACTAGAAGTAGAAAATGGAGGTGCTACATGGATGCTTCTGTGCCCACACAACAAAAAAGCAGTTCCATTAATTGGTTTTTATCCCCACAGTAAACACTTTCTAATTCATCCCTTTGCCTTTCTTAAATAAATCGATGATATCCAGTAACATTTGAGTATGTTATGGTCTTGTTTTCCTTTAAATTATATGGGGTTTAAAAACTGGAACACAACAAAGTTGGCAAAAATTGTCTTAATCTTGTGAACCGTGTTGTTTTTTTGTTTTTTGTTTTTTTTTTGTTTTTTTTTTTTTGTTTTTTTTTTTGTTTTTTGTTTTTTTTTTTTTTTCATAAAACCTGTAATATGTTAGGACTGTTTGCACCAGATTGTCTTGTTCTTTTTTGAGTAGTTAAGTGTCTCACGTTGGTTCAGGTCTATATGGAGTCTTAGAAAAACCTGCAAGAATGTGTTTTTTGAAGTATTTTTTTAAAAAAGAAACTCTTTGGTATTCTGGAGTACATGTTTATTTACCAGGACGTACAATGACTGATTTCTTACTTTCACATAATTTACATAATTCATATAATTTCCATTATTTCTGTCATATAGTTTCCAGTGTGTGTCAATACTGAACATTGTGCAAAAATATTAAACTTGATTAGTTTGAAGCAACTATGTCTTTCCATACCCCGTGTCAGAGATACCTTAATAAATTACCTACACAGAATATGGAGGTTTTTAACATAAGGAGTTTCCAGTGTTGTTTTAGCTGAATTTTTACCTTTAATGCTAACACAAATTCCAAACAAAAATGATAACCATAAAAAGTGACGCGTCTACTGTCAGGTGTCTATTTGCTTTCTAGGAATCTGCCCCTCCCTAAAATTGGTGATGCTCCAAAGCTGATAAAAATTACCTGACTAGACCAATTTTTCCAGCTGTATTTGTACATTGGATCCTTGGTCTGTGTCATCTGACGTTGTATTAAGTTTCTTTGAAATATGATATATAAAATATATATTTGATATATAAAAAACATTGCAAAATAGATCATTAATAGATCACTGATTTTTGCTGCAAAGAGTCTAATAAACTTCTTACATGTTTATCTCTTACACAAGTATTATTTAATTAATAATCTTGTTTACAGCATTTTGGGGACCAGCACTGATCTTATATTTCATAGTTTATTTTTTGATCCCATAGAACGCCTGTAATTACTTGTAACCATTAACAAATACCCAGGAATAATTAGCACTTCTGTGTTAGTGAATGTTTTAGCAGATATTTAATTTGAACAGTGTGCTATTTATTTTAGCACTAATAAAAAGTACAACCACTTATTTCTGTTTTAAGAAATACTGCAGGTAGAGGAGCATGTGCTGTTAATCAGCCCAACTGCTTTCAGTGGGATTCCATCAGAGCTTCCATATTTTTTCCTGTGTCCCAGGTTTGATCGTGTTCTGACCCGTGATTTTGATTTAATAGAATTTCTTGGCAGAATCCTAATTTCATTTAAATAAACTCTTCTTCAAATTACAACTGCTCTCTGCTAAAAATGAGCAATTAATAATTGAGAATGCTGGGCGCACTTCAGAGGTGATGCCTTTCTAAAATGCATAAATACACGCTTCTGTTTCAGGAGCTGAAGCAAAGAAAAGGAAGCATCAGATAAACAGGGGCAGTCTTAGTTTGAAGGCTCCTGGTAAGCCACGACGTATCACTGCCCACATCCTAAGAGCACTTACTGGTACTCTCCGCGGGGCTGCCAAGGTAATCAAGACCTCAAGATTGAGCTGTTCAGGCTCTTTGGCACCGCACTGTCAACCTGCATTACTCTCATTTCTGCCTGTTGGTGCTGCAAAGGAATATGAAGCAATTGTCTGTCTCACGGGCATTGAAAGGAGTCCTGACAACTGGTCTCTGTGCTCGGAGGGGAACCTTTGGTTATTATCATTTTTAAATGTGGAAGGACCAAGGTCAAAAACCAGACTGGATGTAGGAGTTAAATTATTTTTTTTATTAGTTTCAAAGATTAGTATGTCACACGTCAGTTTCTTGATATTTATGCTGCCAATACAAGGATAATTTAACTACCAGGGCAAAGTGGAACAGCTCCAAAGGATGTATGAATTGGTTAGGCCACCCCTGGGGGACGGCGGAGGTTCATGGTCCTTGCTCCAGGTCAGTGTGAGGATTTATAAATGCCTCCCACTACTGTAGTGAGTGTCATTATCACAGGCCGCCTTTATCCCTAGGAGGGATATCCCTACAAGGAAAGGCTGGGACAGCCCTGAAAGTGCTTGACGAATTCCTACTGACATTTATAAACTGAGTGACCTCCAAGTCTGGAATTAATTGTTGTAGGGGCAAGTCTTCCCTTTGGCATTCCTGGTGTTTGGCCAAAGCAGCTCTCTGCTTAGCCAGGCTGTGTGTGGCAGCAGGGGCCTCACTGTCCCTCTGCTATGCTTAGAAACTGGAATTTCTTCTAGGCCGACGGGTGCCTAAAATGCTGGGGCTTTGCTATTCCTTAGTGCCTGTGGTGATCTGGCCCTTAGTTTATCGTCATCTATTCTCCTTTCAGAAAACCTCATGTCAAAATACACTGTTAAAAACTATGCTGTTTTACAAGCGTCGCTCCCTTCCTTTTTTCCAGAGGTGTTCGTGTTACCTCCCTGGCTGCTGGCTCTGCCTCTGCAGTACCCGAGTCGTTACTAAAGCAGCACTCAGCAGCCAGGTAGATACAATAAAATTTTTGGGTGTCTTCACAGTCAGCGCTGCCTCCAGGCCTGGTCAGCCTACGTGTTTAGCCAAGACAGAAACACTGCCCATCAGAGGCCACGGGACTACTTATCTGTATCCCACATGAGTGTGCATAACCCAGCACAACGCACACAAATAGTGACTCGCTGGATATTGTCCGGAGTTGAACTGTCCTTAGGAGCAGGATTTGGATGCAGTCTGCAGGAGTTTCACAATGAACGCACTTTGGAGTGCGGACTTTGTTGTTCACAACAATTTACCACGTTTTAGCTTCTTGAAGTACGAAAACAGCTAAAAATTCTACCCTACGCTTTACGTGTAACACCGCTTTTTCACGTGTTTACAATATATTGCACAAAGTTAAATGTACAAATTGAAAGGAAGCAATGACTTTTTAAAATTTCATATACCTTTATAAGCTGTTGGCATTTGAAGCACGACATGAGCACATATTTATATAGACAGGTAAAATCTTCTAAGTCCGTATTTCTGTGAGCTGCAGCAGAGTTAAGATAGCAATTATCAATTGCTATTCTCACCTGCAGAGATTCTGGCTTGGACAGAAGCGCTGCACTCATGGGTGTTGTGAAGGCCCAGCAGGGATTCCCAGCGACACGAGCTCAGCTCAGAGACAGGGCTCGAACTACTGACACAGTGAAGAGAGAAGGACAGTGTTGAGGGGCTCCAGGAAACAAAAAATAAAAGTTGGTCTACAGAATGATTTTAAAAGACATACACTCCTAGTAAAACAGAGTACTCAATATATTTCCTCTATTTTCAGTCTTCCATTACTATGAACATATTTTTGGTCTTTATTCCTTAATTCTCTAAGCAGGAATTCTTTACGAATAAGATACTACGATGTAGACATCAGGCCACAGTTGTCACCTGGAAAACAAATCAGTGCTAACAAAACCAAAAGAGATGCCTCAAAGGCAGACATCCACCGAACAACAAACCCAATCTGAGTGTGCAGGGCAAAATGCTTTTTTTATACTCCAGATACGCCCTGGTGATCTGGGGATACAGCTGGCACATAGTCGTACACGTGGTACACGTGTGTTTTGTTAAACGTAGATATGCGCGGATTCAAATGAGCCGCTCAGTGTACTTCCAGTACTTCCAAAGTTCAAGAGCAAATCACCAGGGATATTTTAAATGTTCTACAACACGATGCACGGGCTGATTCCTGTGCCCATCTGGGAGTTTCAGCAAGTCATTTCACCATGGCTATGGCGAAGACAAAGAAAACACATTATGCTTCAGTCTTGCTTATGCTTTTCTTGGGACGAGAAAAAGGTTACGCTACTGGTCTTACAGCATTAAATAAACTGGGAAATGGGCTGTGGGTTGTGGTAGCATTTAAGTTTTATAAATTGTAGTAACAGCAGTTTCTTGGGCTTCCAGCAGCAATGCCGCAGTGGAGAAAGAACGACTTGTGTGACTATGGTCTGTTTTGCTGATCGGTTAAGAGTAAGAAGGCATACTTTCTCCTCCAGCTTCATGATCATCTCTTAACTATATCTGAATTTGATTCATTTCCATAATAGGTAACACCAAAAAAAAAAAGAGATTTTTTTTTAGGAAAAAGACATCTGATTTACTCTTGGCAAAAAAAACAAACAAACAAACAAAAAACAAAAAACACAAACCCTGCTTGTTCAGAAATCAGAAATAAATAAAAAAAAAACAAAACAAAACACACAAATATAGGAATGGAATAATCTTCTTCGAGGTATCAGTTTCCAAAAGGAAGGACAAAGTGCTCATGGCAAGGTAGTGATAAGTTGACATGACTGCAGGGTGTTGGCTTGCAGTTGGGGTGGATGATGTGATTGTTACTGTGGGAATCGAATTCGTACACAGAGATGAATAAAGAATTCTCTTCTTCAGAAGCAAAAATCACACAAACTGACAGTTTATGACCTTTAGTGTCACCACCCGGATGACATTCACATATTGTCACTGTTACTCATGTCCTTTTGTGTTGCGCTTTCTCAGCATGCCTGTTTCACCTGAATCGCCAGCTTTTTGCTTTTTCAGTGCTGCATTTTCATTGTCAGACTCCATGAACAGGTCCTCTGAGGCTGGCTCTTCTGCTTCACTGCAGCTCTCCGAGTGGAATACAGCATTCTCCGCTATAACAGCAGGATCCTCCTCCTCCTCGTAGCAGTAACAACACTCCTCAGTGCTTTGGCTGTCATGATGGTCCCTCTCCTCTTCACCGATGCCAGTTCCCTCATCCCTTTTCTGCGTTAAATTGTGGCTGTCCCTCCCCATGGTGAGGCCAGAGAGTAGGGTTTCATTGCACAGGTAATCCTCATCTTCCATGCCCTCCATTCTTTCGGCCAGTTCTTCTGCAGAGGGCTGGCTGAGATCGGGATAATCTACCAGGATTGTTTCCCGCTTGCGCTTGAAGCAATCGGAATGATCATAGATGGGATAGGTCTCTTCTGGGTAACCTTAGGAATAAAGTGACGTGGTTTGAAACGTTAACAAGAGTTTTAAAATGGTACTGATTTCAGTGATGGATGCCAAAGTGTTATAACAATTGTTTTTAGCACTGACAGTGTAAGTGGCATTATAAGTGGCATCTATTTAATTGCATGGCAAGAACGTGCGAAACGTGACTCCTTGGAAGATGATGACAAAACCCCACTGACTTTTAGGGAGCCAGGATTTCAGCCCAGTTTTTCAGGAATGACTATCTGAGCTTTGCTGAAAGCTGTGGCAGCTAATAGGTGAAAATTGTGTTTTAGATCTTTAAATATATTCTTTTTTTGTTGTTTTTCCTGTCTACAGATTTTTAAGACTTTTGCAATAAATGGCATATTATTTATAAAGTTGGAAACCAGATATGAGTCAATGCCTTTGTGCATTTCATTTTATAGAATGGATCACGAACTTGATTTAAGAAAACAGCGCTTGAGGCAGCTGTTTATGCTTTATACTTTGAATCATTTTTGAAAGCTTCCTAAGGAGCACAGAATTAAGTCTGCATAAAGATGCATTTAGAATTCGGAAAGCAAACAGCTCAGCTAGGATGTCTTGAAAACACATTCATGTGACAAGTAAACAGCAAGGAACAGAAAGGACGTTACAATGAGGAATCTTTAAAAGACAGGCTTCCTGGAGGTGACTTTTACAATACTGGAGCAAACAAATCGAAAATAAAAATTGTAAGTTCTCCAAAACATATTGGTTCAAATTTCCAAGGGTTTTAGGATTTTCTGTGAAATCTATCAAATAAAGGGAAAGATAAACCCACAGCAGCCAAGACTCAGCAGCAAATGAAGCATATGTGAATATTCACATGCCACTTTTGGCAGCAGACAGTGTAGTCTTTACACTAAAGAAAATGCTGGCTGACTCAGAAGCTTTTTTTTTTGCTTTTTTCTATCGTGGTTGGGAAAACAAATCACCTCTTGCAAAGTTCTGAGAACTTTCTGAATAGGAAGAATGAAGTTAGATTTTGAAAGGATTTTGGATTTAAAGTAAAAAAGTAAAATTTGCTCAGTTTTTCTCATCAGGGTGGTGGTTAGAAAGCCTCTTGCTTACCTTCCCAGTCCTCCATGTAAGGAGCTTCTTCAGCTTCTTTCTCCGGAGAGGTGCCATCTACGAATTTGCCTTCTTTCATCACTCTAGTAATTTCTCGCAGTTGCTGAAGCAACCTTTTTTCCTGCTCTGTTGTAACATTTTGGGTCCTGGTAGAAAACATCAGACAACAGAATTCAGACCGCTGTTATTCAGCCTGGAGAAGAGAAGGCCTTGGGGGCACCTTACAGGGGCCTGCCAGTGCTTATAGGGGGCCTGCAGGAAAGCTGGGACTCCCTGACTCTTTATCAGGGAGTGCCGTGGTAGGACAAGGGTGAATGGTTTTAAACTAAAAGAGGGTAGATTCAGATAAGTGACTTGGAAGAAATTATTCAAGAGTTATGATACAGAAGACACTACAGAAATTCCTGGTCTTTAAGTGAGAATTAGAGACCTGAGTCCTGTCTGAAGCGTTGTAGGAAAATGTAAATCAGAACCTAGGCAACATTTTAAATAAAATCATAGAATGTGGGCCTAATCAAAAGGTCTCACACAAACATTAGTCTGAAGAGTCTAACGCTGCCCTAATTATGACCATTAAAGGGATTAAATTTGCAAGGCCTCACTGAGAAATAAGCCAGTTGTTACAGATAGACCCAAAGATTAGATAGACGTTGTATCAAACAGATTCAACAATAATGCCTGATTTGGAGGAGCAGGTTTAAAAATGCTAAGAGTGTGTTACACTTAGTTTTAACTTGCCCTTAAGAATCAGAGGGAGGTTTTTTATCAGATTAAAAGCAAAGTATAATTTTGACTGGTTTTACACGGATGATTCTAGTGATTACTACGAGTCATAACAAAATGATTCCAAAATGATAGGTAATACAATCACTGTTATAACAAAATGATTCCGACAGGTAAGATTATGTAATTATTACATCCTGTTTTCACTGAAAAACAAAAGTCTCATGAAAATCTTACAGGAAAAAAAAAGATTTGGAGGGTGGTAGGCCTGAGCTCTCCCAAGCCCTCAGGAGGTTACAGTAAGAAAGATCAGTGGCTGTACTTTGGGGAGAAAATGGTTCTGACTGTTTTGCTTGTTTCATCTTGTGTTTCATGTTGTTCTTGAGAGGGTGTTTGATCTCTCTGTAAGTACTAACTCAAGCCCATCATGGAACCGAGACATTGCTCGGGCTCTCTTCTGAATCCTGCTGTGTTTTAGGCAGGATCCATATAGCCCCTACAGGGGGAGTTCAGAGGGGCTGGCTATGGACACGCACAGTGTTGAGCTGTAGGTGGTATGTGAGGGTGGGCAGATGATTTCTGATGATCTCCAGACCAGACAGATAATCTCCAAGAAGGTTTTATCTAGAGTAGACAGCTGCTTAGTGAATCTTAGGGGTTAGATGGGGAGGTGGAGGTGGAAACTGATAAATGATTTTGGATTTAGGTACAAATTTCTATGTAAACCTTGTGTCAGGTGCCAAAATTCTCATAAACTTGAAAACCTGCAGCATCCATATTCAGTTTTTCCTCTTGTTAGAATAGAGCAGCACCTTAACAGGTATTCATGCTACTCTGCATACATAGGAATGATGATGACACACAATAGTTACTCCACTGGAGGCAGCAGTGCCATTCTGGTTAAAACCAAAGACATTAGCATCGTGCTGCTGGTTTGTGCAGTGGTGATCCACGTGTGGAGCATGGGCTGGTTTTTGTGCAGTCCCACCCACCCTTGTCTGGTAACAGACTGTAGCTCGAGAGCCGGCTCTCTTGTATCACTAGCAGCTATCCAGATATTTGAGGCAGAGCAAGGCTGAAACGCCAGAAATCTGGTTCTTGCCACCTCTCCGTGCTTCCCCCGAGGGGGTTGCCTCCCAGTTTGTGAAGGTGACGCAGTCCCAGCGCTATGTGGAGGCTGCCCTGAGTCCCATCAAGGTGTGTGGCAGTTTCTGGCGCAGAACAAGCAGCGGTGTGAGATGGCATCTTCCCAAAAGCCTGGGTTATGCAGATGAAGAATCTGAGATGTGAATTAACTGGCACATGAAAAGAACTGGTTTCATCAGCTAGCTGCCTTTGACAGAAGCTGTAATAGAACTGCCAAACTTATCCTCCTTTCCTAGACAAAGGTGTATGTAATTTGAATATATATCACCTGCATAACGACAGACAGATCTGTCTGTTTAGCACTAGCTCAAATAATAGGCTCAATCAATGCAGCTGCCTAACAGTGGCACTTCGTGCAGGAATTCGTAACGAGCTGGATATTCCCATCAGAACGCCCTGCTTTCTTTCTGCAACACAAGGTCTCTGTGAGTATGTCACAGCTCCATTCCGACTCCAGATACCTTGCTTAAGAGAAGAATTTCCCTGTAGATAGGGAAAACCAAAGCCCGTGCGATATCTCTACTTCAGTTAAAGTCTTCAGGAGCTGGAGGATGCTGGCAACGTGTAAGACATCTGGCTGCCTGCATACAGGAGATTTACCAGGATACAACGGACTCTTAAAAACTAACAGGACAGATGCACAACGTTTACAGCTTAAGAAAAGGCCATTGTTTTTGCCCTTTGTATCTCCAGCAAAGCTGTTTTCATAGTGTCAGTGCTTACACTGAATCCCAAAGTACTCACTAGCAGGTAAAGTTCTCATGAGCTCTCATGACTGTAGTGAATATCCATAATCTAAGGTGCTGTCTCAGACATGTCAACTGTTTCATGGGTTTTTGTTTTTTCTTTCTTCATGATCTTAAAATAATCATTATTAAAATGCACTATATTGCATTTTAAAATTGCACCCAAAATTGCATCCTACAGAATACGATCTTTCTCTCTCAAAAGCTTCAAAGCTTGGCTGTATTTGAAAAACAGCTCCATTTAGAGGTGCTTTCCCCCCTCTTTTAAAGGGAGGCTATACACAAAATTCACTATTAGGTTCGGTTTCTGATTTTCCCTGAGTTCTCTAGATCCGTGTATATAAATAGTTCGGGTGAACAAAGAAGGGAAGTTCTACTAAATAAAGGCTCTCAGCCAATTGCACTGAGAGGAACAAATACTGGATCAGGCCCTAAACCCATTTTATCAGTAAAAAATGTCCTATACTGAGCTATATGCCCCTATATCTGGGCAGAACATAAGCCTTTCTGGCAGCTTAAAGGTAAGCATAAAGCCCTGCATTAGCATTTCAAAACAGAGCTCAGTAAGGATAGTGGAAACAGTGTCCTTGTGTTTCACTTGCTGGTTTAGGGGTACTCCCACTGCAACTTTGCCTAAACCAGGCAAGTTTGGCACCTCGCCGTGCTGAAATGACTACAGCCACAACAGAGCTCAAGGTGCAACGTGGACAAAACTACGTGCTCACGGAGGTCATTTTTTGAAGCAAAATGGATATAACGTACAAGTTCAGCACAGAATTGTTTCTACAGAGTGGTTTAAAATAGAGGCACTGACTGATCCAAAGAACGTGGTCAATTTGCTCTCAGTGTTTCTTTATAATGTTGACTAGTGATCTCAGATTTATGGCAAAGAATAAACAAATGTTTAAATCCCGATTTTACAACTCTTCTGTATTTCTAAGGAAATGCATGGATTTACTGGTTATGAAGTCAGGTTATTACACAATTCTGACCCTAAACAAATATTTTATGGAGATATTAACAGACATTTACATAGATTATCACATCATTTCTATTTATAAAAAAAAAATAGTAATGAATTGCACTGGAAAATACCCTAAAACAAATGGCTCTCTTGGGAATCATTCAGAAAATTACATTGGCCAGATAAAACAGGTTGTTTTTTGCACCTCAAATACAGACATTTCATTTTCTGTTTAGACGTAGCTATCATTATTTTCCAAATACTGCAGTATACAAAAGTGGGAGGAGAGAGATGGTTGCTCTTCTGCTTAAGGAAAGTCTAGTTGGAAAGAATGATTTATTACAAATATAGGCCCTGAACAGAGAAAGACTGCTGAACAAAAATGCATGATGTTTAAAATCAATTTTCTACAGTTTGAAGCAGAAATAATAATGCTATTTTAATATAGTCAATGTAAGAAAGTTCAATTTTAAGTCAGGGAAGAATTGTACCTTAATACGCTGTATTTTGAAACATACCTTTCACAGTTAGGGCCTACTCTGTTGATTAATTTTTCCATAGCTTCTTCGGTCTCTCTCAGTTTTTCCTGGAGCTGGGTGAGCTCATAGTCAGCTGTAAAACAAAGAAAGTCCCAAGATCTGTCAGTAGGAGCTTTCAAAATGTACATGTATATATATTTTTTTTTTCTAAGGCAACCAAAGGTAGGTCAGCTATGTGGTGCAAAATCAATGTAAATGGTGAAAATCCTGTTGCTGAGATGCCATTGTTACTGGCTGCAAAACAAATGCTGGGTAGGTTAACTATTCAGATGCTACAGACACACCTAGTTAAGCAGCACAAAGGCACAGTGAACCTCTGACATAGCAGCAATGGAGAAAACCATCCACAAACATCCTGATTTTGCAGAGATCTTTGTTCTGCAGAGAATGCGGTTATTATTTTGGATTCCAAAGACTTTAAAAATAGGTGAAGGGAACTTGGCAAAGAGAAAGGAAATTACTCTGTCCAAGTAACTAAGTAGTGACTGTCTTAGGTTCCTAGTCTAGCAATGGGTTCCCTGCTCTGCTGCTGACTGCAGCGAATGCTTCTGGAATACAAATGAAGAGCTCTAGAAAAAGGCAGAACCGCTTTCATCACTAGTTCTCTGAGCTGTCATGGTGGTAAATGTTTAACCTACTGCACAGCTAGTTTCTCTTACCAAGCATTAGAGAAAAAATTACAGTTGCTGTTGCTAATTGCACAAAATTGGCAGGCACGTTGCAGTACAAGCACACTGAAAATACAATGCATAGTACTGAGTGTGTTAGGTATTGCTAATACACACCTTCATGTCAAGATAATTACAGCTATGTTAAGAGCATTACCTTGCTGCTAGCACTTTCTATAAAACCTGAAGTGCTTTTCTTTCCTATCACAATTTAGCCAGCTAAACACAACACATTTAAATACCAATACGGTAACTAATACAATCTTTAAAAGTAAGTTTATTAATTTATCTAATAAATGCCTACAAATCGATAAATCTCTTAACTCAGTGATGTTTAGCTAAAATCACAGTAACATTTCAGATACTGTCTGCTTTCTTTACGTTGTGCTCATCAAAACTTTGAACATTGCAAACAGGAAATTAAAAATGGGGACAAGCCTGCTGATGGCTAAGAATTTATAAATTAAAAAAAGTAATAATGAAGCTAGCTTTTAACAATATCTTTATGTACTGTTACTAGAATATTACAGATTATAGAATAATTACAGATGGACATCCTATTGGCCATTTGTTAATTATAAGTTATATTCGCTTTTCAACAAATAGGTGCAGTTAATTCAGAAAACCTCATGAAAACACATTGCTTCCAAGGGGGCTTCCAAGCTACTATTGTATATTCTCATTAGCAAAATAAGATTAGAACGTAATGGTGCAGTAATTCACTTTAACACTTGTTCCTTCCAGCACAGAGTCCTGGCTTGCTGCTAACACAGTGCAACAGCAGCTTTACAATGTGTCCAGAATGTGAAGACCCCAGTGAGACTGTGACTCTACAGTGAACAGCTACTCAGATACAACTTAGAAATAGCACTTACTGATTTTCCTCTTCATGTTTCCAGGTGCAGCAGTAGGGCATTTCCGTTCTCCAGCTGTAGTTTTTCCCTTGGAAGCCAGCTGATAAGTGAAAAAAGTTGACCCCTGTATGAGTTACAGCAATAGCAATATGCAAGGCCCCAAGGCAAAAGAGTAAAGAAAAGGATAGAAAGCTAAAATTCTGCTAGGAACTAATCACAGAATAATATCCCCAGCAGCAAAAACAGGCAACTGTGAATGAGGCCTAGAATCTTCCCATCTGAAAACTCCTAACAGATACTCGGAATATGTTACCTGAGGTTACCTGGAATTTTATATTGAAACATAATGAAAGTATAACTCACTAATAATAATTTTAGAACATTTATCTGTAACATCAAATGGCCTGATCTTGTAATTATTCTGTGTATAGGAGGGAAGAAATTATTATTCTGAAATAATGGTGAAAGAAAGTGAAAGGTTCTGAAGGACTTATACGCGACCCCACTTGTCTCTCTTGCAACGTTTTCTGCCATCTATTCCTTACCAACTTTGTACTTGCAGGAAATGTGGCTCTATACTGCTGGCTCTGTATAGAAGCTGCAGGCTCCCTATTTTTTTCCTTTTCTCTCTATTTGATCAGTTTACCCAATTTACCATGTTTCCTTGAGTCAGCCTGGGACTCTTTCTCTCCAGAGCAGGCTCAACTATTTGGACACTGGTCAGTCTGCCTTAAGCCCCAGCTCAAACAGGGAAAAAAAAATAAAAATCTGCAAGAGCTTGTCCCTTTCTCCTTTCTTCCACAGCAGCTCTCTGTAATCACCTACATGTATGTCACATCTGTGCCACAGAAAGCTAGAAGTTGACAATACGTGTGAAATATTTGAGTGGGACTTGGGCTGTATGTTTATTCCTCAGCCAGCTCCTTGCTGGTTCCAGTGGTCACAGCAACCTTACAAACTCCCCCTTTCCACCAACATGGTGCTTTTTTTCCACAAGGTATCCCATAATGGTCCTCCATCTCCCCCACTTTAAATGCATAACAAAATTCATGACATATACAGTATAAAGAATGTGTAATAATACATGATATAAAAGAATACTATTTGTGTATTCAAAATCAATCTAACATAAGAAAAGACGTCTGCATTTTCCAGTAGGAAAAATAAATCCTTTAAAATTTTCACAGCTCAGAGGCCAACACAGGATCACAGCAACCCTTTGCTGCACTCAGTTACAGTATTTAAATGGCAAAAAGCACAGGATACTCCAATCTTTCAAGTACCAGTCAAAGGTCCAGCTTAAACATTTTTTCTTGAGCAAAGCTGAGATGAAATCTGGTACAGAAATGGGACTAACATTTTTTTTTTAGTTTATATATCCTTGACTTTTCAATGTATGTTGCTCTTACCTTAAATAAAATGTACAAGATATATAAGAAGATGCCAAATCCATATATAGGGATAATTTGCCCCACAAGACCTCTCCCAGTTCCACCAGCACTTCCGCCACCACCTCCACCGGCCTTGGCTTTGGCAACTGCTTCAGCGAGGTGAGACCTTGGAAAATGAGGGGTAGCTCGGCTGTCGGGGGTGGCCTGGTAATGCATCCTGGGTGGAAAGCGACCAGGCTTCCCTGAAAAAAAAAAACACGAAACAAAACAGAAACACAGCAATTATTTTTCTACTAATAATTTTCACCCGTTTACACGCAGCCTAAAACTGGAGCAGGTACAGCTGGTCTCTCTTCTCTAATTTTAAATGCACCACTGCTGATGAAAAAGGCAACCCACTGGACCATTACTAAGTCTGTAGAGTCAGTCCTCAGTCATTTACTATGTGCTAGAAGTTAGGTGAGCACAATTAATCTGTTGATTTTAGGAAGAGAAGAAGCTGGCACGGCAATTAACAAAGCACAGAGTTTACCAAGCATATGTACCTGTCCAAAGACACCGCGGATCACCACCCCTAGCAGGGTGACCACCAACATTTGTACTTCTGCTCCTCTGCTCAAAAAATCACCACAACAGCCTGTTTTCTTTTTTCTTCTTTTTTTTTTTTTTTCACTAGGATGCAAAGGTGTGCTAACGCATAAACCCAGCTGCAGTACTGATACGTGACTGCAGTTCTAGCCCAGTACAGATTTTCAGCTATTGTTGTTAAAATTGGCTTCACTCAACACAGAGGTGGCAGAATCTCACTGAAGCTCACACAGTTATTAAATCTCCTCGCTGCCACCAGTTCACCAATTTTTCTCCGAAATTCACAATGTTACTGCCCGCTGTACTTGACATCCTGCTCTCCACCTCTGTCCACTAAGGGGGCAGAAGTGAGCCCGTGGCCACGCTGCCCCAGGCCAGCTGCTGAGTGGCCACCCCTGCCAGGAAAGCAGAAAGCAGGTCTGGAACCACGCAGAAAATAACCAGCTAACCCCTGGAAGCACCCGGCTGCAGGTACCTTTATTGGAAGCGAGACAACAGAAGATTAGATTAAATTAGCATTTGCTCTTGCTAGGAAACACCATCACAGCTAAATTCCCGAGCACAGAAAATTACAGGAAACATATTAGGAAGCTGTATCAATAATTTGTGAAGGCCTGCTACTAAAACATTTTTCTTGTAGGTGATGACATGGATTTTTTGACTGCTGTAGGCTTTAATGACACTGAGCAGGAATGCCCCTCCGACCAAAAATGCTCTCAGGCGAGCTCAGGCTTAACTTTGAGGAAGCTGTTATTGAGCATTTTAATTTAGTGAATTATTCAAGGCCTGTGATGGAAATAAGAGCATCTTATTTACAAGAAAGTCCCATTGCTACAGTAGCAATGTCATGTAGGCCTTTGTAAAGCATTTTACATTCGTGCAGCCATTCTTTATTAATTAAAAAGAAAGGGAAGAGCACAGAAAACAACCGGCAAAGGTGAAGCTGTATTTAAAGGGATTCGTTTTCTCATTTTTCATGAGGCCTCCCTTCTGCTTTAAAAGATTCAATTCAGCCAAAAATAATCAGGCCAAGGAGACACGCGCAAGTCATTTCGTTATCCAAGGAATGTTGGAGTTTCACGGCTTCTGGTGCTAAACTTCCCCTGTTGAGCCCACACAAACAGCAGAGGCAAGTCAGATGTGCAGAACAGCTGTCAAATACATGGTACATAAATGGAAACGTGGAGAGATGTGGATGCCACTGTCCATTAAACAGCCTAACTGGTGCTATTTAAAAAAAATACCCTAACACGCTGGTAGGTGATGTTTGTCCAGATTCTGCATTTCCAGGGAAGGCACAAACCACTCCCAGATGGAGAGGGTGGCACACCCTTCATCGAAAAAATCAAGCGACGCCTCCATCTGACCACAGACAGGCACGTGTTAGGTGCTTGTGTGCTGAGTGAATGAAAAAGCAACCTCTTTTTCAGACCGTCGTGGGAATTCAAATTGAAAGAGCTGCTGTGAGAACCAAAACTCAAGAGTTTTATACATTTTTCTCCTGTGCTCTGCTGGACTTTATTTGAAGAAGAGACGGGCTCGAAGCAAAGCTCATGCTAAGCAGGACATGCGAGATTTCCCTCTGACAACCAGCAAGGTGTTAACACTGAATTCTCCATCTTGGGCTTCAAAAAATAAAAAAAAAAATAAAAAAATCTTTTGCTCTTAGCAGCCTATTTTCATAAAACTTTCTGTCAAAGAGATGACTTGGGTAAAGGGTTCTCAGGCTGGAAATATTAACAGATGGAAAGACACATGGACTCCACGATCTTCTTAATTATCTTCCCTACACTAGAAGTATCTGCCTTCTAGATATTCTTGTATAGCCTACGTGTTTGGTATGATAGTTTAGAATAATTTATAAAGAAATGTTTTCTCCACAGTTAACCTATTCTTTTTCAAGACAATGTCACACTGGTGCTTTTCTTTAACACCTTCTAATTCCCCAAACAATTAGTCCTTTTTATAACACTACAAACTCACATCCAGTTTGTTGTTGAGATCACTCCATTTCTATTAAAAACTATCACCAGACCCGTATTTTAGATTTATTTTCCGCATGTAGTCATTTGCGTTTTTCTGTTCTGACTCTTTTTTTATAAATGAATACTTCTGAACCTGGCAGTGTGACATCAGGATGAGCCGGACAAACATCGTGCATTCCTGCTCTTTCGCTGGCATTTACCAAACGGCTCTAGCTGCGTTCCTAGAAATCACAGCGTTAGAAACCTGCTCAAAAAAGGTCAGGAAGAATGATTTTATAAATAATTTTGGAACGCTTACTTTGTATCACCACACAGCTGTTTTTAAGGGGCACAGTCAAAAGCTTTAACATTTTCATAAGAGTTTTGCAGGCGGAGGTGAAGGAGGAAAGCACACAGACCACCCAAAACGGGGCCATCTCACTTTCCTTCACGTAAGGACACCTGCCAGCAGCCAAAGTGTGCCCTGCACAACTCCCAGCTGGGCAAAGGAGCCGCCTGAGGCCCTGTGTGCTTTCCTTGTAGGAGCTTTATTCTTTGTGACAGTGCAAACTGACCGCAGGTCTGGTGCCGTCGTCTGTAAGGCTTTGTGAACTGCCAACGTGGTTGTACGAAACGCATGACATCTATGTACGAGGGCTGACATTAGAAGCGCTTTTAAAACCGGTGGCAGCTTGTTTTTCAGAGGATTTTGGACACCTTCAGAGCTGAGGCCATGCAAGCGGGAGGACGGGGGGCACACTGACCACAGGAGCATGGCGCATGGACACGGCGTCTGGGGCACGGCACTGGGAAACTAAGCAATGAGGATATGAGGATGGTTTCACCGAGCTTTTATTTCTTACGAAAACCCCGGCAGCGCTCCAGCAACAGAAGGATGAAGCCTTGAAACGAAACACCGCAGGGAAACGTTGGCTTTCGGCAACGCTGGCAGCACGCTGAGGGAGAGGAGACACAAAACACGACCCCAACACCGCGAACAACCTGCTGCGAGAGAGAAGGGCCGAGAAAACCGGGGGCAGGCCCGGGAGAGGCACGAAACGTTGAGCCCCGCTCGGCTCCCTCAGCGGGCGGCCCCTCAGCCCCGGGCAGCCCCGGGTAGCCGCCGGCAGCCCCGTCCTCGCCCCGGCGGCCCTCCGCGGGCTCTTACCGTCGGGCGGCGCGGCCCCGGGCTCCGTCCTCCCGCCGCCCTTTGGCAGCAGGGCCCTCGGCAGCAGGAGGGAGGCGCAGAGCACCAGGCACGACACGGCCGCCACCCGCCCGCAGCCCGCCGCCGGCGCCATGGCGGCCCTGAGGCGGCCGCGGGGCTCCGCGCAGGCGCCGTTGGCCGCGCGTGCGCTGGGCGGGAGGCTGAGGGGAGGCGGCGAACTACGCGCTTCCCATAGGGAAAAACAACCCCAAAGAAGCATAAAACGAATAAAAGAACCTTACGCTGCCCCTTTTTTCCTCCCCCCGAGGTTTTTTTGCAGCGCCTGTGCGGGTGGAAGTGAAGGGAGGAAGGAGCCCGCAGCCCTCTGTGGTATCCCAGCAGAGCGGTGGGCGCTGCCCCAACAGGCTGTAAATGGGTGTCCCTGCTCCTGCAGTAGGGCTGCTGCTGTTATTAGGGCTGTTGGGCTCCTAGGGTTAGAAAAAAGTCATACCAGAAATAGCCTTTCTAGGCCCCGAGCAGCTTGGGTTCCCCAGATGGGCTCATCCACCTTGGAGCACAAAGGGTGGGTGTGGGAAAGTCCAGAACGTATTTAAAATTACTTCAGTGTGCTACAACTATCCTCTGAAATTTAAAAATTACAGTTTCAAGAGAGAGCTCGGAATTTGCATGTTGTCAGTGCATTTGTTTAGGTGGCTGCGGCACAAAGTCATCCTGAAACCACCTTCCCACTGTACCGAGAATAAAAGATCAAAGCAAAGAGGGAAGTTCATTGTTTGTACTCGTTCATTTTCACCGACTTTAGCAAAAAACTGCCAGTCATGTCAAATTAAATTATATGGTTTTGTATTTCCATTATATTTATATTACAGTATATTACTGTAGTTGAATTAGACTATTTTCCATGGGGCCTGGGCTGTGACTACCGAATTTAACTCACTTTACGCAAGAGTTCCCCTTAATTAGACTTGAGCTGGGAAAAGAATTACTTTGACTAGCACTGCAGACTACTACAGCAGCAGAATACCACAGGCTCTTAAATTACTACAGAAGAGATATCCACTGTCTGGACAGCTGGAACTGGACTGACGATTCCAGTAATTGTTCTTATTGAATACCTCAGCCCTAGGGACGTGGCAGCCCTTGGCCACGTTCCCACCAGCCATTATCGGATTAACCTGGCTGGACCGTCTCCTTACACAGTTCCTTTGCCCATCACTCATTCACCAGCTCTCGGGTTCCTCACAGGAGTACTTCTGGCACTCGTCACCACTGCTCCCGAAAATAAGAGTTGTGGGTACCATCTGTTCAGTGTCCAATTAGGTCTCTCTCCTAAACTTTCCACCAGCTCTTGATGCCTGATGTGGCAAAGTTAGCAGGTAGGAGCATCAAAACGAGCCTCGCCCTGACCAGAAATGTGGTTGAATCCACTAAAAACAAATAATTCACTCAATCTGTTGTCGTTGTTCTCTGGTTACCACCAGGGAGAACATGACTGGCCTGTCAGAGCACTCGTGGATCACTTCTGTTTCCATTTTAACTCTTGGGAAGCACAAAAAGGACAGAGAACAACTAAGAGAGCAGCAGAACCACTGGAGTCTTTTAGGCCTCAAAGAGTGATTTCACCATAGAAATGCTGTGAGTGTTGTCAAGGCAGTTGATCCAAAACAATGATGTTTGGAGGCTTCTTCGGTGATGAGGTCTGGATGAAGTAGATTGCCCTGCCTTGTTCCTAGGAAGGTCACTGGAAGAAAGAAACACTTATAGCTGTTTCTGAGCGTTTTCCCCATGCCATTCAAAACCAAGGAAGAATAGAGAGATCAATGCTTGAACACTAACTTTCCACATGTAATCACCAGCTTTCTAACGTCAGTATGGCAGCCGGTCCATGGCCCCTCAAGAGGCTGACAGGAGCTCAAAGGCAAAGCAACAAATTTGATTCTGGGATTGTATATAGAGACGGCATAAATGCAATGGCTCTTTGTGAGGTATTCAGTCATCAAGAGATATGTGGGAAAAAATAAAAGGACTTCATAAAGTCCGTTTTTCTTCTCCAGCCAAACATAGAGTTCCTGCAGTGAAAGACTGAGGCATGGGTCTTGGACTTCACAAAAAGCATGAGTCCTGTCCTTTGTGGAAGTCACAGGTGAAATCCTTCTGATTTAGGTTGCCGTGGAATTTAACTGTACTCATATAAACAAAAAACAACAACAAAAAAAACCACAAACAACAACAAAACACTATAAAAACAGAACCTCCCAAAGAAGACCAAGAGCATGTTTTAGATAATTTAACCTTCTGTTTAAGTAAAATAACCATAAATGTGTTCTGACCTCAAAAAGGCCAGCCTCATGAAGCGGACTTTGCGCTGGTTGGGTTGCCTTGAGTTTTGTTTGCTGTCACATAGAAAGTTATGTTTTCACAGAATGATGTCTGCATACATGGTAGTGTTCATAAATATGTGGTTTGATTTATAGTTCCAAATTGATATAAACACAGACTTTACAGTATTCAGAAACAACACGTACATAGTAAAATACTTTCTAGGTAGTATAATAGGTATTCAGCAGGTATTGATAACAATCTCCTACAAATGATTTATTTTTAACTTCTGGAAAGGAGCATTGGAAAAGAATTTCATTTTCTCCTTATTTATTTTACCCTGATATTCGTCCACTTACCTACTATCTCTCTTTGTTATACCATGCTTACCACCTCTCCCAGTTTCTCCTTATCATGGGAAAATTAATGTGAAAGAAGATGAATGAATCATTTTAAGCCTTTTTAAACTCATTCTTGAGTGGACACATAAATTGCTGTAAAATGAACAATCCTTGATATAAATATAAATTAGGAACCAGTTTCTTAATCAAACTAACAAATTACTTAAAAGCCTCCTCATATATCTAGCCCTTGCCAAAATATGTGCCATCACTGCCTCTCTCCCCTAGCTTTGGAAGGTGTTTATGTGCTTGCTTCTCATTGCAGAGTATCGTAGTAGTAAAGCCCAAATGCTGCTGTATTAGGGTGCTATGCCTTCAGGGGGACCAGGAGAGTTGGCTAATATTCAAGCATCACTTTCTCCAAGCTCAGGTACATCCCTCAGAGACAGAAGTTGAGCAAGATGTGCAGGAGACCTGCATGGACGGGCAAGGAGCTCTCGGGAAAAACTTAAAGAGAAGTGTAGTAGCAGAAGAAGTAGTGTAGCCAGCAGGCCCAGGGAGGTGATGGTCCCCCTGTACTCTGCTCTGGTGAGGCTACACCTCTAGTACTGTGTTCAGTTTTGGGCCCCTCACTTCAAGGATGACATCAAGGTGCTGGAACGTGTCCAGAGAAGAGCTACGAAGCTGGTGGTGGGCCTGGAACACAAGTCCTGTGAGGAGCAGCTTAGTCTGGGGAAGGGAAGCCTTATTGCTCTCTACAACTGCCTGAAAGGAAGGTATGGGGAACTGGGGGGTCGGCCTCTTCTCACAGATAACTAGCGATAGGACTAGAGGAAATGGCCTCAAGTTGCGCCAGAGGAGGTTTAGGTTGGAAATTAAGATAATTTTCTTCTCAGAAAGAGCGGTCAGGCATTGGAATGGGTTGTTCAGGGAAGTAGTGGCATCACCATCCCTGGGGGTGCTTAAGGAAAGGTTGGATGTGGTGCTAAGGGACACGGTCTAGTAGGTGATTTTGGCCATAGGTGATGGCTGGACCAGATGTTCTTGGAGGTCTTTTCCAACCTTAATGATTGTCTGATTCTAAGCAGTGAAACGTGGCTCACATCCTATGTGGCAGTGTTGATGCTTCCCAGGTAGCCTGGAGCAAGGCTGTGGTGTCCTGTCTTCGTTGCATGAGGCATACCTCCAAGTTTTCCACATGCTGACAACTGGAGGGTTTGCCCCTAAATGAGGAGTGGTTCAAAAGTGGCCCGTAAATGAGGAGTGGCTAAAACTAGAGGCTGGCTACGTGTTTTCCAGCTCCGTGGTGTATCTATGGTCTCGCAAGGTGACAGATGAGGTGGCTTCCACCTTAATCGTCAACCCTTGTGATCAGGAACGCGTTAGAGGGGATGGCTAAACCCGTAGTCCAGGTGATGCCTTACAGAGGGAAGACCCTTTCTCTGCATCCTTCTCGCTGTCATTAATCAGCAGAAAGAAAGCTCAAACTTGAATTCTTTGGGCCATCCTGTCACAAAAAAAAAATATAAAGGAAGTGGTCTTCTGCTCCAATTAATTAAACAAACTGATATAAATTCCCCGCTTAAACCGTACTTTGCATATCCGTAATCTCTGCACTACATTTTATGTATACTTTACCCTTGGGTAAAAATTTGTGAGCATATAAATGCTTTCTCATATAATCTTGCTAAAGCACGCTCTTGCCTATAAATATTCATACCACTGCCAAAACATTTGCAAGCTTTCCCCAAAGGTGAAATATGTGTAATGTACTTTGCCTTCTGGGTATAAATATTATCCAATACATTTTGGTTAATATGAATACACTAATTATTCTTGTAACCCTTTTTAAAAGGGTCATCCTCATGATGTGAATTTTTAAAAAATGTAATTACAGTAATTGGATACTTAATCTAATTAAAATTGGCTTTATCTTTAATGGGAATTTTTCTAAAGAGGCAGAATGACAATTGACTTTCTGATAATCACTGTTTTCTTTCAGCTAGAGGATGCATTTAGTACAGTAGGAACCAGAGAACATGGCCTCTTTGCTACATGCCTGCCACCTTTAGAGCTAGTTAGATGGTAATTTTGTCCATCGCCGGGCAAAACTTTCACTTTACTTATAACTAAAAGTTCTGCATTCTGCGTCTTGATTTCATTGTGGCTCAGACAGAGTTAATTTAGGAGTTAATTGTGCTTGGGGTACAGGTAAATTCAAAAACATTGTCTTCTCATGCTGTTGAATGGGAAGTCAAAGAGAACAAAACAATGGAAAAGCTAGGGGTTGTGTAAGACTGGAGAAGTAGAGTAATGTTGTTAGTTTCAGACACCTGTGACATAGACGCTTACATCTGAGACATCTTTTTTGTTGTGTTGTGGGAAATAGGTAGTTTTAAGGAGTAATTCGTCTGATCATAGGTGGAAATCTGCTCTCATACATGATGGATCACACCATATTTTCTCCCCTTAATGATAAAGGGTGCACAGGGTGCCTTGCCCAGAGATAGATGGGCACCCTGTAGAAGAGAATACTGACTTAGATGAATGCCACCAACATGGAGCACATCGATTTACTCAGGAAGTGGAAAACATAATAGCAGTATTATTAGCCAGTTGAGAATCTAAGTTTTGCTTTTCTGGATGTCTGAAAATCCAGAAAACCAGCTGAATGTTGGGTTAAAAGATAACAATAATAATAATAGTAGTAATAATAATAATAATAATAGCAATCAATCAATCAAACAAACAAAAAAAAACCCACAAAAAATAGAGAAAGGAATGGAAATGGAAATTCCTCAATAAGCTCAACAAATGACAATCTGGCAAAATAACAGAAAAGGTAACTCCTAAGAGCAAGCATGTCTGACCCTTCTGTTGATGTCTCAGAGATGGCACTGCTGGCAGAGGTAGTTTGTCACCTGATTAGCATGAGCTCTTGACGTATGGCTTGGTCTAGCCACCAGGCTGAACTTACCAGAGCACAACTGCCACCGAGACTTGGAGAACACAACTTCAGGCTGCTGCATCTGCAAGCAGGTCCATTATAAAGCTGCCACACCTTTCAGGGTCTTTGCTTCCAGGAAAAAAAAAAAAAAAAAAAAAAAAGAAAAGCATTACTGGAAGCCAGGAAAGAGAGAAAGAGCTTCTAAGAAAATCAATCAGCTGTTTTGTAGGCTCAGCTTGCCAGCAGAGTGTCCCTCACAGGCCGGTGTGTCTTCAGGACTGAAGACAGATATTTCACTGAGGAACATTGTTTCCAAAGAAGGATAACCATCTGCAATGCATTCCAGCATCAATCTCTCGATATATGTATATGTGATAGAAAAGAGGCTGCTAAGACAACTCATGCAATTTATGCGTTAAAGAAAAATCATTAATTTGGAGAGAAATTAGCAGTAAGGAGAAGAAAAAATTCAAGTGAAGACAGGTATTGAGGGTGCATTGAGTGAAAAAAAGTTCAATATCAAAATTATACAGGAAAACCTCTAGCTTGATTTGAAAACTAGTGGTGGTCTAGGACTGAAGCTTTCAGCTTCTTAAAAAGTTTGCTATATCAACAAATTTAATTTTGAAAAAGATGCCATGTGCCATCATTTTGCTTTATCAGAGTGTTATCTTTGTGCAAGATAGAGCATTGGTTCGAGAAATAACAATCCTGTCTGATAGCCTTCACTAAGCTTCAAGCTCCTGAATTGGAACTAAACATGGAGGCAACAGTGATCCATTCAACAGGGATAACTTTTAGTGCCAAAAAAAGTAAATTAATAGGTAAGTAGCCTGTACCTGAGACTCATGGAAATTTGAATTTGGTTGGATTCTGTTGCTGTTACAGAAAACACATTTTTAGGATTGGCAGTCTTCAGAAAGGCTTTGGAAAGAGAAAAAGAAGCTGCTGTAATGGTCGGCGGTATGAACTGTCATAGTTTCAGAGCTGAAGATCGTTCTGGTTAGTGTTTTTGCCATGGGGCCACCAGTGGCTTCTGAATACAGGAAAAATGAGAGGATAATGGCTTGCTAGGAAAATCCGAGTTCTCTGAAAATGAATTTTAGAACTGTCGTAGGAACTCCTGGCTCCAGTTACAAGGTTGCTTCAAGCTACGCCTCTCGCAGTAGCTCATGACTAAGGAATCTTGGCAGATGCCTGTGTGAATACTTAGAAAAACAGAAACAATTTGGTTTTGCCATCTGTCTTGGGCAAGAACTCTGCATTGCTGATGTTTGATCCAGACAGGCTTATTGGGAAACTAATATCAACCGTTGTCCTAAGCATGAGAGAAACGCATTGGCTTCTGAAGGGAATAAATATGTTCAGAAAAAGATGGAAAATTAAAAAGTCTGTTGCCTCATCTACTTGCAGAGATACAGATGTGCCTCATCCTTCAGGCATACAGGTTGCAGGAAGAGACTGCAAAGTCACTGACCTTGGCATGTACATATCCTAAAAATCCTTGGAAAACAGCTTTTTCTAACATTAAAACCCAGTATTTCAGCAACTCCTAACTCCCTTCATCTAAGGGATTGTTGGCTTTTGCACTTAACCTCTTGCTCTGGAAAAGTTTTTCATCTCAAGGTGAAAAATTTGGAAGCACAACTTCGGTTTTTCCAGAAGATGGCAGTGCCACTACAGAAAATAGCAGAGCAGTTGCGCTCCGAAGGTGACTGCTCTGTAATTTGCCAGCTCAGAACACATATATAACAAGTTTTGATTTTTTTTTTTCTTAAATAGATGATCAGATAATTATACTTCAATGACTGTCAAAAGCAATAATGATAGCACTCATTACAACTTTAAAGTGTGTCTGGCTTCCCAAGGGCTCACAACAAACGTTAATTTATCCGAATGGATACAGGAGACGTAATTAGGCAGTAACTCATTTCTATCACATATCGTGTACGCTATAATTATTTTTGGCCACACGTGTTCACGCTGGGTGTTGAACTGCCCTCCTAACATCCACCTCTTGTGCTCCTACCTGGGGCAGTCACAGGTGTTGCAGTGGCAAGGAGGTAGATATTAAACACCGCCTTCAATCCCAGCACATCTGGCAGCACCCACAAGACCTGAAGAATAAAAGAGGCAAATAGATGTATGGAAAATTAATAAGGATCACAGCACCGCACCAGATGCAGCGGTATGCTGACTACATTGCTAAATAGATTGCACTGTGATAGCCAGGCCATCTACAATAGATTCATGCTTTCATGAACTGTGCGAGCCGATGCCTTTAATTCTCAGGTTGAGCTTGATTCCTGATTGTTTTCATTACATCGTATTTCGGGGTTTTTGTGGTATGATTACATGTGATTTACTAGAAATAACTGATCAATGAAAAGATGCAGAACTTACTGTGCTTCTCTTTCCATTCATTTATTATATTTTCGTGAGTCTTTCATTGAAAAAAAAAAAAAAGAAAAAAAAAAAGAGTCTATTCACACTAGAAAGGCTACCTACCAGTTCAGTGAGAAGAAGGCAAGCAAAGAGTTATTCTACACCCTGCTAACATATTCACAGAAAACTCATCCAATTTTGTTAAGACCTTTTGTGGAGAATCAAAAGTTAGTGAAGATTGTATTATAATTCCTCTTCCTGACCTGAAAGTCACACAGCTGGATTCAAGTAGGCCAGAAATGCATGCTTTACAGAAACACCTTGTGATTTTTTTTTTTTTTTTTTTTTTGAAGCTCTGAAAGATTTTAGTGCTGACCCTGCCCTCCATACCAACAGCTGAGTCGCTTGCAGGAACTCATGACAGAAGACAAATTGTTGCAGCTGTCAAATAGCCAGCAGAAGGAAAGGATCACCTTGTTGCACCAGTGTTAGCCTCCACATTTCCCTTGCAATAGGGCAAAACTTACGTACTGCTCACTGTACCTTTGAGATTCCAGTTTTGTGGGGGACAATCAAGATTTAAATACCCTGGAGGAAAATAATTTGCTGCTTGATCCAGCAGCACCTTTTGAAGTCAATATAAAAGTGTTCATTAGCATCGATGAGATTCGGATTAGATCCTTATTTCCACCTCAACAGAGGTGGAAACCAGGAGGAGCACAGAGCCTGGACCAGCAGCTCTGCCCAGAGCAGGCGAGCACACAGGGAAAGTTGTATTTCTTCCAAGTGCTTCAGCAGGGGAAATTGTGCTGAGAAACCTTCATGAATTTTGTTAACATGGCTGGAATATGCAGTGGACCAAAAGCTGTTCTCATTTACACCTGAAAAACCCTCACCCATGCCATCCTAGTGATTTCAGCACCAGGGAATTGTACCTAACAGGACAAAACCTATACCGTTGGCATTAATTACACGTTCGTTCTTCTCGTTCAGAGATGTGACTCTATACACGTGAGCAACAGCAAGCTAATACCAGAGCACATCTCAGTGTGAAAACTGAGCAGGCCAGGTGTAGGTGAGGTGTGAGGCATCAGAAACAGGAAAAAGGAGCACGAGATGAGGAGCAGCCAAGTATCAGGAGCAAAACACTTGTCATGAAAAAAACGTGGCAGCGTGCAAATGCACAGAGCATACAACTCCAACAAGAGCCCATTGAAACCAATGAAAAATACTGAAAAGGCATTCAAGATTAAATAATCTTTGGCAGTGCTGCTGTGGGGACAGTTAATGCAGAGTTCCCATTAAAAATCTCTCAAGAGATCTTGTAAGACTAAATAAAATTAGCCCAAAGGCCCAAACTCTACCTTCAAATCAGGCATCATCTGCTGAAATTGAAGAGCCCTGAACAGTGTGAGAGCAGATTCAGAGAAGCCATGAATAAATCTGAGTTTGTTGGGTTGGGGACTCGGGCACGAAGCAGGCGTTGATTGAGCCAGGAAAGAAAACCAATTTGTGCCACGCTTCTCTTCCCTACGTAGCCAACCCCCCAAAAGTCATGCGTGTCCTACCAGCCCCACGCAGCTCCTGACCCAGCTCACAACGTGCTGGTGATCTCAATTCCACATTTTTTTTCTAAAACAAAAAGAGAGAGAGAGAGCCCTGCCCTTGCTGCCAGCCCAGTTATTCTAAGGCACCCGCCAAACTTTTTATTCCGGTCATTGCTGCATGAATTTGGCAAAGCCCGGGCATTGTCCAGTGTCTGCACCTGCAAATAATTCCACGGGAGCCCTTGGCGTTGCTGGTGGGACTCGGAGCTCAGCAGCCTCTGCTGGTCCATTAACTCCTAGAGATTTTTATTATGGAGCTAAAATTCATTCAACCACATCTCACGATGAGTAGGAAGTATAACACAGATATTAGGGCTGCACTTTGTAGAAACAGTCGGCAAGGCAGGTGCCACGCCACGCTGAGGACCACAGCCTTGTCACCAGATGCACGGGTCTGGCCAACTCATCTGGTAGATGTCCCAAGCCATGATGCAGTTTCTCCAGCACCACCAGGACAATGCACATCCCTCATCAATACAGGACAGTTTATGGATTGAAACAGGAGATAGGGGGTGGGCGGTAATGTAGATCATGGTACTTAATTGGACATAAGGCTTCCTAACATCCTCTTACTTTCCTAATTGCTAATATATTTAACACTGATGTTATCAATAGTCCATGATAAATAAAATTACTCCATATCAGCTCATTAGTTGATTAATTACACGGGGAGAAAGAAAAAGAATGAAGCCAAAAGTAGATGGAGGACCCAAGCTTCTCCCTGAGTGAAAGGAGCAGCCCCAGCTGGCCTACATGTTTTTGGGGTTATTTATTTGCAGCAATGCGGCTTTGTGAAATACAAGTCAGAGGGAAATTAGGCCACCACTCTAGGATCAGCCTTCCTTTTGTTCTTTTTTGAACTTTAGGAGCAAAGGAGTTCCCAGATAAACCGCATCTTGGAGCTGGTGTTACCGCTGCAGGTTTGGTGAAACCTCTGGTGCTGCAGATCTACAGCGGACAGCAGAATAAGAGAAGCTATAAGATTAAATCTAACATACATCTCAGCCTTAAAAAGCAACAGAAACAACCACCACCACTAACTAGCTGAGTGAGCGTACTAAGAAAGGGGATACGAAGTAATTTTATTATGAGAACCAGGAGGAAAATTATTTCTAACTACCCAAACAAGCTCTCGGAGTTGCACTTGGTGAATGCTCACTCCGTATCTCTGTTTTCAGTAAGAATGAAATACCAAATACTTTTCCTACCGTATGCAAGAATCAAGTGAACTGAATGTTTTGGACTACTCAACCCAACAAATGCAAAGGTATTTCACACGACTGCTTCTAAAACAGAGGCCTAGGCCTAAGCACCATTATGCTTCGAAAATAAGCCCAGAAAAGGACGTGAGGCCACTTAACGCAGCTCCACTGATGTGCAAGGCCTGCTAAGTCCATACCTGGAGGTCATCCCATCCTATTTATTTCAAAGTAAGGCTATATAGGATTGGGATCTGTTGTTTTTTTTTTTGTTTGTTTGTTTGTTTTTTTCTGGTTGTGTTTTTTGTTGTTGTTTCTGATCTAAGTGGGGCAGGAAACAGGAGAAGTTCATGCTCCAATCCAGTATTTTTTTTATACACTGATCTTCCCTTTAACTGTTCAGTGACCCAAAATTTGATCTATTCTCTCTAACATCATCTACAGAGCAAAATTATCAGACTTTCTTCCCAATAATAGGAAACAGATGGTTTCATTGTCCTCATTTACCATCTCCTTGAATGTGACTTTCAATGGGATGGAAACCCTCTGGCCAACCCATTCCTGGTCTTTTCCCTTTCAGCCTCTGCATGTGCTGTATAAAATTATTTTGACCACTGAGAAAATTGAATCACCCCACTAGAAGTGAAGAATGTAAATTTTAGATTTGCAGTTTTCCTATTTATTTTTTACAGTGAAACTCAAACTCCTTTTTTTGCTTCATGCTGATTGTCCTTCTAGTGGATAAAAACAAACAACCAAAAAAAAAAAAAAAAAAAGAGAACCATAAAAACCCATCAATTTTTCTTTTACCTTTATTTCCCCTGGTCTATGCAGATATTCCCTAGATACCATTATATGATTTCTTCCTCTTCATGAAGATCATAGTGAGGAATTTTTGCAGCCACAAATGGCATTTTTTGTCCCATTTCTCCCCACAACCTACACTTACCCCTCTAGTTTTGTGTGATGATTTATTACTAAACAACATATTTTCCATTATAGCAAAGGAAGGGGGGTGGGAGGAGTACCAAACAAACTCCAGTGGCTGTATTCAAAGTGTAATGCTTCTTATCACAAATAATTTAAAAAATGCAAGAACCCCAATTTGCAGCTAGGAGGCCCACTTGAGGGATCAGTTAAAATTTACTCCTTTATACACATGCCAACTTTGACTTCAAAAAGACTTTATTCCCAAGGATAAACAACCCAATATTTGTGTAATATAATTAAGTGAAGGCATCTTTAAATGTCATACCAGCTTGTGCCATGCTTTAAATTGTTATGCATCAACAGAATTTAACGAGATGGCCAAGGATCCTGCTTCCTGCGTGAATGCGATAAGCCACAAATACTGTATAGCTCTTTAATAGATTGCCAAAATAAAGCATTTTGTATGCAAATTATTCATGGAGTGGCAAAGCTAATATAGTGCCAAAATTACGCCCACTGGTCCTCTGCAATTAGTAGTTAAGTTGAAGTATCTTCAAACTGCAGAATTTCTTTCAGTGTTTCCCAATACTTGAAGCATCTTTTCATTTATGAAATTATGAAATTGCAGCTTTTATTTTGCTTTAAGGTTCAGGGTACGCGTGCGCTACAGCAGAGGGGTGGCAGCTGGGATCTAATCAGAAGAATTGCACATAGGCTACGCAGAAAATAAATGCACAAGTCCAGTGACTTGCAAGAAAGTTGAAGGAGAAAAAGAAAAAAAAAAAAAATGATTTTTCATCCAATTTTCCACCCATGCCACTAAAGTAAAGTAAATGAGCTCTATGACATTGGGATGAAGAAAACAGCTAAGGAACACAGCAAATAAAATAAAAATACAAGCATCCGGTTCCCAGCTTTAGGATGGCTCACAGAGCCACCCCCACAAAACATCCTGTAGTTGCCTTCAAAATGTCCCAGTCCGAGGAACACCCATACGCTTATAGCAGTTCAGGAAGAAAATGTCCTTGGGGTGCACAAGACAGAGGAGCCACAAAAAGCCAACACCTGTAAGTCACTTACCTGCTGCTTCACTTTCAGTGAAAAGCTCTTTCCCAGCTCTTCAGCTGGCCAAGATTCTCTCTCAGACCAGCTTAGGGAGCCATGTAGAGAGGAGAAATAATTGCTCCTCCATGGAGAACTCCTTGGAAGAACTTTTACCAGCTGAACCAGGCAACCGCGAAGTATTCAGGCTACTGTTCCACTTTTGGGTGTCGTTTATAGCCCTGCGTGGAGATGAAGCACGATGAAGAAGCAGACGGGCATGTAGGTCACATCCACGTGCTGTGGTGTTAACGCTAACTGTATTTTTCACTTACAATCTAATCATCAGAAGAGTATAGCACGTGTCAGGGGCCCATGATGATGATTTAATGAGTCTGTGTCAAACCACTTGGACCTGGGTGGCCTTTCTTAGCTAACTTGGAGGATTTACTACCAGATAAACAAAAAAATGTAATTTTGATCACAAACTATTTTATAAAAATGTGGAATACCATAGGCAGCTGTTTTCAGTCCGGTGGACTCCAGGAGTTGCAATCTACAGATTTTTATTTACGTGGGGGGAACGGGAGGACCCAAACTCAACAGCCCCCAATCCCATACTTTGATATTAAAGGAAAAAATGGGTAGAAGGTCTTACAGCAAGAAAGCTGCAATCCTTGGAAAATAAATAAAAGCAGCTACCACCGTTGGTGACGCAGGTCTTGCATTTTGTCCCTTTTAGTGATGTTGGTTTAAATATCTGGCTAAGAGAGGCGAGCGTTTCTGTGGTAAGTCCAGATGAAGGCACAAGGAGCGTGTGGCCCCACCACCTCTGCCAGCAGCTTTGCAAAGCAAACCTTGCACCGTCAGGATGACTTGGCGGAGCCTGTTGGTCAGGGCTCCACACTGACAACTTGTCGGCGACTTTGTAAAAAAAAAAAATAAATAAATAAAATAAAATAAAAAAATGGCAACCAATGAAAATCAATCTTCTGATGCTCGGCTGCCTTAAATACCAGTAGAGCAAACAAACAGCCCTAAACAATACAGCAGAAACCATATATCAATTACCCTAAATGCTCAAGCATTTTTACTTCACAGCCTGCAACATCCACATGTAGTATCCGCACCCACTGCGCCGGGGTGATAATGGTGCCGCATTGTTCCTGGGCGCCTGGCGGCGAGATAAGGGCTGCCTGCACTTAGATGATAATGAAAGTGGGCAGACTTAACATTGTGATTTGAAAATTTCTTGGGTCTCAGAAAAAGGTTCTATTAAGCCCACTGACCCCAATTGAATATTAATTAGCTAATTAACAGATTTATTGTTCCACGCAATTTCTGGAGAGGCAATTTTTTTTCAAGTGCCATTATTTTTTTAAATTATTTTTTGCATTGTGTATAATTGAATCTTTGCAGCTGCCAGCATCTTCTGCATGATTTGGCAAAAAAAAGAAAGAAAAAGCACTTATAGCTTTCCCTTTTTTTCCAGACCCAAATGTTTCCAATCGCTTTAGTTAGTGCTTGGGGTGGGAGGGAGTGGGAAAGAGGCAGCTGATTTATGTCACAGTCTAGAGATTTATTCTTAAAAGCTTAACTTAAAAATGTCCACACTTTTTTTTAATTCCTGTTATGATTCACTGGTCTATCTTTTAGCCTGAGGTGACTACAAGTGCACTATTATTCCCAGCAAAGAGACTGAAGTCTGTTCCCCGCCTCTCTTTATACACCCTTTTAAATATTGTGCATCTTGCTTCTCTTCTTACCTGTTTTTTTCTGGGGCTTTTCCACCATGAAACTGTTTTCTGCCCAGCTGGGGAGGGCAAGGGGCTTTCTGCCAGTCTCCATCCTCCTTGCAGCAGGGTCTCTTGTGCGAACCACATTTTTTCCCTCAGCACATTTTTGTCTCCATAGGTGAATCCTGAGAAAGCAAAGCATTTTTCAAAATGATGAACGATTGGTAAAGAGAGACCAGATGCTATTTTACTGTATGGATGATTTCTGACAATTTCAAATAAGTATGTTTTGTGCAAACTTTCTGAAGAGCTTCACGCTGTAGTGAACAGACCCTCAAAAAAACTCTGGTGTCTACAGAAGTGAAGCTCCACTCACCTGTTCCTCCACAGACAGAGGAGACTGACTGCAAGAAGTCTCCTTCTTGTACCTACCACAGCTACAGGTGTGTTCAATTTAAATTAAGGCCCATGAATGCTTAAAGAGTTCCTCCTTGGTTTTCCTCTCAGACTGTTGATTTTTTATTATTTTTCCTTTTTCTTTATAACCAATCTGCAGATGTTCCATGAAGTAATTCATCAGTAGCTTCCAAACAATTCCTATTTCTACAGCTCACAGTTGTGTTTGGAGACCTGTGAAAAAGTTCCTCAATGACTTAAGCCAACGTGGAGTCACAGAAATGCTGTTCTGTGAAATTAAACAAGTCAAAATACATCCATCAAGAATCTCTTTCAAGTGTTACAGGTGATACTGGTCCAGACTCTAGAAAATACTGCACAATGACAAAGAAATAAGAGCATTTCTTCACATCCCACATTTATGAGGGGTAGATATGCATTGCTTCACTCAGTGTCCAGAACTAACTTGAAGAAGAAAAGCCACCAGAGTCAGATCTGAGCCCTGACTACAATTATTTTACCAATTACAGAGAACAAAAGTGTTTGTATACAGATGTTTTTGTCCATCACAGAGAGAAAACTGAGCTGCAATATTCAAATCTGGATTTGGGTTCCTTACTCACAATGTGTTGGCTGGGACCTACCTCAGATGATACTGTTGTACGTGGGTACCTACACAAGATCTCAGTGAAATACCTTAAGACTCCTATGCAATGTTCTCAAGATTGGCCTGGGTGAATCAAGACATTTTAATGAAGTGCTGCTGGCACAAGCTTCTTTTTATTTGTTTTTGCACCTTTTTCACGGCTGTATCCTGTTCTGAAACATGCTAGTCAGGAAGACAGTATTTAAACCACCCAATCTTTTACTTTAAAATGCTAGATGAAATATTACTTGGGCTCCAAGCGAAAATAAGCAAATCACCGAGAGATGTGATTTCTACTTACATATAAAAATATAAGGAATAGGCAAGGAGAAGCATAAAGCTTGCACTAGGATTATAGAGATATGTGAACTGTGTCAGTAAAGAGCCTGTACTAGACTCATCAAAAGGTTGGTGGATATTATTTCATATTGACTTTGACCTTCTACTCTAATGTAATTACTAGGAACAATTTAAATAACTTACTTTTTTTTTTCCTGAAAAAAAAAAAAAAGAAAGCATTTTCTATTGCTTAAAACTGGAAAACAAAATGTTTGATTGAGGTCATCTTGACATCCATTAGTGTGATAAATGAAGTGGAATTCAAGGCTGCTCCATTATCAAGGTTCATTTTCGTTGTTCAGATCTGGTTTCCCCCTCTCTCTTTCTTTCTTTTTTTTTTTTCTTTTTTTTTTTTTTTTTTTTTTGAAACAACGTGGCCTCAGACTCAAGGCTGATTACAATAATTACATTTTCTACCCATAATAGTACAAATGATTCAAAGAGTTATTCAGAATGTTTCAATGTCAGCACTTGGATAAATGCTCGTTCTTTCCTAGGGATTGCATTTTTTATGCAGAAGGTTAGTTAGGAGCAGCAATAACGGTATAGCTGTCAGAAAGCCGTGAATTTACGTGCCCAGTAACTACATTCACAATTGTTTGGTACTCGGCATGGCAACAGGACTGAATGGGATACTAGATAATTTATAACTGCTCCCCAATACAAGAAGAACAATTATATTGTGTGCAGTATAAAATGGCCATTATTTAGCTCAATTTTTAAAAATTATTTGAACAAAATGTGTATCCTTTGCAGGGCTATTTTCTTCTGGTTCTAATTAGATACCCAAGGAATACAGGATGTATAAATTTTAGCCAGCAAATATATTTATGGAATTTTAATTTGCTTCTTGTATACCTCTGCCATAAACTTTGTGAGCCTTCTTCAGGTTTTTAATCTTAAAGGTTAGGAAAAAAAAAAAAAAAAGGAAGGAAACAAAAAAGAAAAAACCCGAAAGAACACAATAGTCAGACGCGAGGTAGCTGCCATTTTCTGATGCGCAGCCAGACCCTGGCTGTATCTCTCTTCTCTCGCACCACTAAATCACTACTGCATGTTTTATGAGGAGAAGTTTGCTCCTGCAGACCTGACAAATTGCATTTTGCACTCGCAGGGAAGAGTGAAGCTGGCGCCGGGCATGGCTGCGACTAGGCCCGGCATGGCCGCAGCCTCCAGTGCTCGGCCTAGTCCCCATCCCACCAGGCCTCCCTCAGCCTCCCACCCCGTGTCTGTCATGATGAGCAGATCGAAGTGCTGTGGAGGAAGCCTTTTTATCAACGTCATCCACGTAGGAATTTCAGGATCTTGCAGTAAACAAAAAACCCACCCCAATACCATCAATGACTGCAGAACTTCTCTCCTTCCTTTGGCAGCAGCCTAGGAAGAAAGGCTTTGTTGTGGCATGCTGCACCTGACTTAGGGTTTGATAGTAAAAAGTTCTTTGGGAAACACATAAATTTTAGTCAACGGGCAGAATTGTTTTCCATTCACAGAAAGGAGGCCTCTTCACTTCATTTTCTTCCAAAATATTTCAGGGATAAGCAAAATATGTAACTGAAAATGAATCTGGGGTAAGCCAGGTTTCACCAGATTTTGCACAATTTCCACGTAAACTATGGAATTCAGCTAAAGAAAAGACACAGAGATGAACAGACATGAGGAAGCTCAGACTTGTTAGTAGCTGGGACCAGTTTAAGACGTCAACACAAATTCTGCCAATTTTGAAAGGAAATTAGCTGTGCTGTTATGAAGATGGACTTTCAATCAAAGCCTAAAATTAGGCTTTCTTCTCTTGAATGAGAATATTCAATGTATATTAATCTAATCCAGCTCTTCAAGACTTCATAGCTTCCACACCAAATTGGCAAGTGGCAAAACACTGTGTTAGCCTTTCCCTTGGGAATAAGGAGGCTACACTACGGTCAGGTCTCAGAAACATTTGAAAGAATAAAAATGTTAGCCTACAAAACCCCATGCAGTAATAGTCATCTTGGCAACAGCTCACATCTTTCCAGGACGACAAAAAGGGAGAAGGTCATGTAGTAAGAGGCATCCCTGCAGGAGAAGGGTGGGAGGGCAGTTTGGTGGCCAGGGATGCCTTCAGTATATCCCAAGGGGTGTTTGTAGGACATGCCACTGCACCCCAATACTGAAAAGATCAGTTCAAACCTACTTCTGATACCAGGCACCTGTACAATTGCAAATGTCAAGCTGTGAAAAGTGCCTAGACAAACAGAAAGGTCTCTTAATATGGTTGCATCTGCATCCATCTAATTAAAGCAAATCCAGTCACATCTCTTCCGATGTAAAAAAAATATATATATTTATCTAAGAGAGATTCAGGACTGAGCAGCCAGAGGAGTGGCTGCGGTGGTGTCCTGCCAGCATTTCAGCAAGAATGCTACAGCAGTTCCGACCTGCCCTTTCCTTCCAGTAGTCTGATGGTATGGATGCAGAAGAGTGCTGGGATGAGAGGCTGTGCTGAGTGCAATTAATTTATATCTCCATTTAAATAAAGCCCTCTCATAGTCATAGCTGGGGAGGAGACAGCGCCACTTGGCAAACAAAATTGTATTAAGTGCACTCCACTAGAAATGTTTATACTTTGTCCCTGAGAAATGTTTATGCTGGAGTACAGTATTTAACTTATCAATTTGGAAATGAATGACAAGGAGAGGAGTACAGAGGTTTTCTTGTTGCAGAAGCATTTGTTAAGTGCCTTTTGTTTGCTACAGCTTCAAAGTTGGGGTAAGCCGTCTTCATCTAGAAGAGTCTTCAGTGACCATACCAAAGCTGAGTATGCTGGCAGGGACCCTCCAGCAAACATACGCCCAAAAGATCGGCGAACATGGTGAAATTTCTTCATTTCTGATTACATCCCTTTATTGATCCCTTTAGATTATCCCTTTATCTATGCTGAACTGGCTTCAGGAAGCTAAAGTTATGTGGTTACACCATGTGCTGGCTCCCCAGACATTATATCAATTCAGATGCCCCCAAAGGCAAAGCGTCCCCCATCATTAATAGTGTTGTCTTACATGCCTTGATATTGTAAGTTTGCTCTCCTCAGCATTCATTTGGTCTCTTCCCAGTAGAACTAGACAAATAAAAAAGGCAAGCTTTTTGACAAAAGCAACATGGCTTGGCCCAATATTTATGTAGAGAATCATATAGATTATTATAATTTTAATGCCAGCAATTTTAGTCTCTTATTTTCAAAAATTGGCATTAACATTCAAACATCCATGTTGCTCTAAAAATCTCCCCACTCTTCTCAGCTTTTATTCTCCACCTGTAACCCTGGAGGAACTTCTTCCACATAGCGCTGTGGTAGTGCAGACATTGGGCAGGCAGGTGGGCAGAGGGACAACGACCAGGCTTCTGCTCATACACACGTTTCTCAGCAGTTAGCACTAATGCAAAGGGAAAAGCTGCACATTTCACGGAGAAGAGGGGGATTTTTTAAAAGCAATTTTAAGATTTGCATCAGAGTTAGGATGGCTCTGTTGAAGTACTTTGGAGACATTAAGTAATGAGCTCATTCGTTCATAATGAAAACAGGATAGAAAAAAACAATTTGTTTAGCAAAATGCAGGGAATTGCTGTTGAGCCCAGACACAAACAAAATACAAAACAGTGATGCCAGTCTGCATTAACTCCATCTGAGCCACCCAAATTCATAATAGTCTAAACTGGACTGTCCTTACAAAGTCTGTAGCTAAGTCATAAATGCAAGACACATGATCTGTGGGGCCAGCACCCTGGCTGATGCTCATCTATGTCACCGTACTGAGGCCAGCAGAGCCTCTGTGTCTGGGAGATCTTGGTCAAAAGGTTGCTTTTTTTTTTTTTTTTTTGACTTAATTTCTTCATTTAGGTAAATGGTAACTCATTGTTAAGAGTAACACTGCTTAAAAGCATGTTTGTTAGGCTGGAATTCAAGAAACCAGCTCCTGCTAGTGGCACGTGTGCCTAGGGATGACACCTCATGAACG